TGGGTTTTTTTTTTTATTGTTTTATATTGAATGGCTATGAATTGAATTCCACGTACACTTTGAATAACAAAAAAATCAAGGGTCCTCATGGTTTATTCTTTTACTTCAAGGTGGGATCACCATTAACGACGAGCATCGTGCGGACAAGGAGTATCCATAAGAATACACTACCATTCCGTTTGTTTTGTAAAAAAAAAAATATAATTAAAAAAATATTTTACTAATAAATTACTTATATTACTTGAAATAATAAGTTAATAAAAAATATTTTCGTTATCAATAACAATTTATGTCTAAATATTTTCTTGTACGATGAAAATGTTGCATGTTCTTTCATCTTTTTTTTTTTTGTAAGAGGATTATATACTTTTCAATACACAAGATACAACGGAGAGCCGAACACAAAAATCTCGTACCTAAGGCGACACAGGTGTCGCGATAGGTGCAAAGGTGTAGCGGCTAACTAAGGCTAGCAGGCGCTAAAAGTTCAACAGGAGCCCGATGGTTAAGAAGCACGAGCTGAACAGCTAACAAGCGGACTAAAGAGCCATAAAAGAACAAGCAACTTCAGAACGTCAAGAAAAAATAGAAGTCGGGATGTTCTTTCATCTTTGTAAGCAATATAAGCGATTATTTTTAAAAAATATAAATCATTCGTTTTCCGCAAAACAGACGCATCCTGAAAATGGTTATTACGAGACTGTATCGCCGAAATTGGATAGTTAACAAAATATCTTTCACTGAAATTCGTTCTATGGTTTTTATTAAGAGGAGATTGGAGCAATTCCGGATATGAATTGTATCAATGGAACACAAGGAACAAATACGCTTCAACGTAATTTAATCAACGATGAAGCCCAATGATATAAAACGCTTTGCCGGAATTTAATCAACAACAAAGTACAATAATAAAAATACAAAGTCGGAATTTAATCGACGGTAAGATATTTGAAATTACGACTAAAGTATGGGAATTGAATGATATTTGAATTGCGGAAAAGTAAAAATAAAGATAAATTTGCTAGAAAGTTGAATTCTTTGATGGATGGGAGAAGGGTTTTACGTGAATACACTTCGATATTTATAGCCTAACATAATCAATAACTGCTTATTATTTGAAATCTTTGAATATAACTTCTTTGCCACAATCTTAGGTTTCATAACTTCCTTATGAACTGTTATTACTTGAATCTTCTAGGGTAACTTTCTTGCCACGATCTCAGACTTAATAACTGCATGTAGTCCTTATCCGAAGCAATTTCATCTATCTTCAATACTTATCTTGAATAATAATCACATGGTTAAACCATTATCAATTAGTCTCTATCGTATATCGATACCAATAATTAGTCACTGGCATTCATGATTATCAGATAATCGTTAACCAATTGTCATCACATATCAATAGCAACACTTGATTATTGATATCCAGAAATCGATCAACATTTTCTTCTTGCCGATAGTTCCATCCATAATCGACCAAACTATACTCCCATCAACTAAGTTTGCCGATCATAGTCGAAAGTTGGTCATTTTTTGATGTGAACAGAGACTTGGGATATCAAAACCGTACCACCTAAAAAGCTTCCTCCCTGAATTGCTGACACCGGTTTTTCGTTCTTGCATTGAATTTTTCCCCATACTCCATTTGTCTGGTAAGGGTGTGGAAAAGACCTAGGAACCGCTTGGACCGCTCAAAACCGGATCGAATCGGTCAAGAACGGCAGGTCCCGATTTCAATAAATTGGAAGTGGTGAGTACCGGCCCAATTCTCGGTTTCAAGTTAGAACCACCCACCCGGTACGTACGTATGTACGTACATACATACATACATACATATTATAATTTTAAGCTTTTCCGCTCTCTCGCTCACCTCACTCCTCAGTCCTCTCAGCTCTCTCCATCTCTTGCTCTCATCTGCACTTGCTTTGTCTCTCGCTTTGGCTTCTCACACTAGCTGAGCTCTGTCTTGCCTCTCGATTCGCGGTCGCCTCACCTCTCAGCGAGTCTAGGATGTTTTTTTGTTGGGTTGTTTCGTTTCGCTGTTTCATTTGATTGTTGCACAGATTTCGCTCAATTGATTGTTTTTTTTTTCATACTTTAGATCTTATGTTTGTCTCATGCTTTGAGCAACTTCTAATGCATGTGAACTTGGGATGGAGTAGTTATTGTGAACATTTTAATGCCCAGATTTGGCTATTTTCAATTTGCTTACGGCTGCAGCATCTTTAGTTCATCAATGGTTTTGTGCAGCATCTTTAGAGGATTATTAAAACGACCGGTTCCATAGACCCACCAGGGAATCGGATCGGACTAGCGGTCTGGTTTTCGGGTGGGTCCATGAAACCATTGGGCAGTTTCTGGTTTCCATTTTATGGAACCGGTCCTTAGTGGACGGTTCTCAATTCTAGCTTGAGCAGTTTTCACCCTGGAACTGACCACCCATATTGTCTTCTACTAATTACTCAATGTCATGCCAGCAAAATGCCATGAAAACTGCACTTTCACGGTTAGATTAAGACAGTTATTGTTATTTATCTCTCCATCACGATTTACGGGGAAAAAGTGTCAAAAAAGTCATAAACCTTTTGCATTAGTGCCAATTCAGTCCTAAACCTTTTGCATTGGTGCCAATTCAGTCCTAAACTTTTTTTTTGTGCCAATTTAGTCCTAAACCTTTTTTTGGTGCCAATTAAGTCCTAAACCTTTTAAATTGATGTCAATTCAGTCCTAAACCTTTTGTTTTTTTGCCAATTTAGTCCTTCCGGTCAATTCTGACCGGAATTTGCTGAAGTGGACGCCTGCCGGCCGGTCACCGGCGCCGACGTGGACAACTTTAATAATATTTTAATATTTTTTTGAATTTTTTATTTTTTTTCCGTTTTTTTCTTTTTCTTTCACTTTTTTTTTTGGTCCCCCCTCCTTCCTCTGGCCGGTAGCCGGTCCGGCGACCGGCCAAAGGCTAGAGGCCGGCGAGCTCGACCTCGCCGGCCACTGGCGAGGGCGGCGGCCTCACCCGGCAAGGGCTAGCCTCACCTTGGTTGGGCGAGGCTCGACCTCGCCAGATCCGGCGAGGGCTCGAGCCTCGCCTTGGTCGGGCGAGGCTCGACCTCGCCGGATCCGGCGAGGTCGGGCCTCGCCCGACCATGGGGAGGCTCGAGCCCTCGCCGGAGGCCGCGGCGAGGCCCGACCTCGCCGGATCTGGTGAGGTCGGGCCTCGCCCGACCAAGGTGAGGCCGCCACCCTCGTCAGTGGCCGGCGAGGTCGAGCTCGCCAGCCAGAGGAAGGAGGGGGGACAAAAAAAATGTGAAAAAAAAGAAAAAAAGGAAAAAAAAAATTCAAAAAAATATTATTAAAGTTGTCCACGTCAGTGCCGGTGACCGGCCGCCGGCCGGCAGGCGTCCACGTCGGCAAATTCCGGTCAGAATTGACCGGAAGGACTAAATTGGCACAAAAACAAAAGGTTTAGGACTGAATTGACACCAATTTAAAAGGTTTAGGACTTAATTGGCACCAAAAAAACGTTTAGGACTAAATTGGCATCAATGCAAAAGGTTTAGGACTGAATTGGCACCAAAAAAAGGTTTAGGACTAAATTGGCACTAATGCAAAAGGTTTATGACTTTTTTGGTACTTTTCCCCGATTTACGGATATAATCATTTTGGATTGTTGTAGTGATTAGGTGTTTGGCCATTTTGCCTTAATAAGGGAGAAATTTTACATTGATCCTACCTAGCTAATGACACGATACCATAGCCCCTTCAAGATCAGGTTTCTATGCTATTGATGCTTAAGTATTACGTTTATCTTTATTCGCATATGATGCGTTTGGTTCACATAAAATTGGAAAATGCTTCTTCACGAAAATGCTTTTTAAAGAAAAACGATTATTTTTCATTTGTTTGGTGATACGTTGAAATTGTACGATCGAAAAGGTGTTCGTGTGTTTGAATCTCATTTTGGCTAATGAGTGTCGAAGAAAGTGAAGAAGTGAGCCTTTGTTAATAGACTCGTCATGTTTGTGAGGATGATTTTCTCCATTTTAAACACAGGATTCCATTTTTCCTAATTTCAATCGAGGAAGCGAATGTTTTTCAATAGACTCGTTATGTTCGCGAAAATGAGTCTCTCTATTTACAAATGGGAATTCCCATTCTCCTAATTGCAAGTATGGATATTTTCTTTAACCGTAAATTTTGAACAAACGCACTTTTGAACAAGTTATTTTAGATAAAAAAAAAAAAAAAACAAGTTATTGACTTGTGGGCGCGCGCCACGTGGCGCGCTCCCGGGGGAGGAACAACAATTCGAATTATAAAAAAACAACGGACCAAAAATTCGAAAACATATTTTTTGCCGGAAGAAACAAAAACACGCAGATAGCCAAGGAAACGGGAAAAACACAAGAAGATCCCCTTCCTCCTTCTTCATTTTTTCCACGGAAATTTCCAAGAATTGCAGGGGGGCAAACGGTAAAACCTCCCCCCCTTCCTTTCCACCTCCCCCTCTCCTCCCACTTCTTTTCCTTTATCACACTAGGAACAAACGACATCGCCATAACCGAACCCCCCCCCCCCCCCCCCACCCAAAAGAAGATTTCATCAAACGCCTCCCTCTCTCTCCCTCTCTCTCTCTCTCTATTCCTCACTCAAATCTTGCAGACAGAACAAAACCCAGATTGAGGAATAAGAATCATTCACTGTAAATCTCTCTTTCTCCCTGTGCATCTCTCACACACGCCTCTCTCCCTCCCTCCTCAGTCACCGGTGTTTCCATCTCTTCCCCCTCCCCCCTTCCTTCCTTTTCTTGGCCCCTTGCCTTTTGATGCTTTTACCCCCCTTTCCACTGCTCATCCCCATCAAGATTTGGATTCCCACCCACCCAATTATTCCTCCTCCTTCCGTCGATAACCCTCCCCCCCCCCCCCCTTCCCCTCCTCCTCCTCACCCACCACCCCAATCCATCGCTACCCACCTGAGCAGGAGCCCCACCCGCAGCAGCAAGAACCGCCGCCGCCGCCGCCATGAAGGTCCACCCCATGCCCAGCAAGAAGAGGAACATCACGGTCCAGTACGTGCCGAGGAGCGCCTCGATCGAGGGGCAGGCCCTCGTGGGCGTCGTCCACAAGAAGCTGCGGCGGCTCCCTCACATCTTCAGCCGCGTCCTGGAGCTGCCCTTCCGGGCGGACGCCGACGTGGAGGTGGAGGAAGGGCCCGGGTTCTTCCGCTTCGTGGCCGAGACCGACGGGATCTGCTCCGACGTCAGGGCCCACACGGTGGAGATCCACCCCGGGGTGACCAAGATCGTGGTGAGGCCCAACGGCTCGCTCGAGCTGCTGTCCCTGGACCAGCTGGAGCTCGACATGTGGCGGTTCCGCCTGCCCGAGTCGACCCGGCCGGAGCTCGCCAGCGCGGTGTGCGTCGACGGGGAGCTGATCGTGACGGTGCCCAAGGGCGGCGAGGAGGGGGAGGATGAGGAGTCGGTGGAGGGCGGCGGCGGCGGCGATGGGGATGTTTGGGGAGGAGGTAATGGAAATAGACTTGTAATTGTACAGTAAAATAAAATCTCTCTCTCTCTCTCTTCTTTTTTTTCTTTCTTTTTATGGAGTTCCCTTTTCTGCCCCTGTCTCAATGTTGTTGTTGGGGGGTGCTCTCCTTTTTAGTCTGCCAAGTTAGTTTTGACTTTTAGAGGTTGCTGATGGAGCTGAGCGCTCCGTGATGTTTCGTTCTGCTGAATTGAATGAAGATAAAAGAAAAAAAAAAAGGAAAAAATTATGAATGTTGCTCCTTCCCTTTATTCTGTTCATAATACAGTGTCATCTGATGATGATGGGTCAGTAGGTTTTCTGCTCTTTGTTGAGATGATCTCGGTTTCGGGTGTTAAATATTCGGAGTATGTGGTTCTCATCTCATGTGGGGTGGCATTGACTTTAGTTAGATTATATAGAGGGGATGGCCTTGCAGTGCAGTGCCCTTCCTGGGTTAGTTTATCTGCTACCTGACCAATCGGTTGCTCATACAGTTTCTTTTGTTGTAAAATAAGTGCAGACGGTTGGGAAAGCTTTGACTTAATCCGTGATGATTTGGTGCCCTTTAGGACCGCGTAACTCGGCTTCATCTTAATGTGAGTTTGTGGATGCACAATGTTTCGCTCGGTCGTGCCTGAAAGTGCTTGATGATTATGCATCCGATTGTTTTCGAGGGCTTTTCCCATTATATGTGTCTGGTGATAGATTCCGAGGATTTGGCAGGAACCTGTATGGCTAATGAGCAATTTATTCATTGTATATTTTCAAAAAGTGCTTTGATGCCCTGTAAAAAGAAAGGTGCTTTTAAAGCTGGAATATATGCTGAATGGTACATATCGAATGCTTGCGAGTGCAGTCTTTTTATCATTGACTGGAGTATATCAAAGGCACTTCTGTGGTGCACTTATGCTCATGTAGACCGGCGACAACTACATTCTCTCCTTAAAAAATTATATTATCCTAAGAATCTTTGAATCACTTGTGCATGTCTTTTCTTGAACCAGGAATGCTTCAAGTGATGCTTATCATATTCTATCTGAAATGAGTCCGAGTTGGTGCGTCACTTCAGTTAATAATATGCAGACTCACATTATCTTATAAGGCATCTATTGTATTGCTTATTAGTCTTCATTAGCATTTCTGCGGTTGATCACTGTGTCCAATTGGATCTTGACGGCAGGGGGAGTTATCCGACAAAACTTTAGCTACTTCTTTTAGGCCTCATGTAGGGAACGAAGTTTCGACAATCCTTACTTTGCAGCTGCTTAGTACTTAGAAGCTGCTGTTCTGGTTGTACAGCTAATTTGCAAATTTTTTGTATGGTTTTGTTTGCACTTGCGTGGCGTACACGAAGCTGTGTCTGTCGTTGTGCTCATGTCTATATGTTCATGTGAAGACAGAAGGTGTATGGACGATCCTTATGCTCCTCTTATTCCTGGTGTGGAATGATGTCCAACCCATTGGAAACCTTGGGATGTGGAATCTTGGTTTTGATTTGCTTGTCTATGTAATTGGGTTTCATGCATCGGTATTAAGGAGTTGAGATAATGACACAAATAGTCCTTGAACTTGAGCCCAATGTGCAATTTGGTCCATGAATTTTTAATTTGTTCAATATGGTCCTTGAACTTTAGCCCAATGCGCAATGTGGTCTTTGAACTTTAGCTACATGTTCAATATAGTTCTTGAACTATATGAAAATGTTCATCGTTGTCATTCCATTAATTCAAGATCAGGGATAACATCGAACATTTTCATGTATAGACATCACATTGTACATTTAGCGAAAGTTCAGGGACTATATTGAACAAATTAAAAGTTCGGGGACTATATTGCATATTGGGCCAAAATTTAGGGACCATTTGTGTCATTTTCTGTAAGGCGTTTCGGCTAATCCTTGTTGTTATTAGTGAATTCATAATGTTGCCATGCTTTACCATTGGAAGAAGTTGATGCGGAAGATAATTGTCCGTTTCTGATGCATTTTATGTTTAGAGTACGTTTCTTTGACGATTATTTTCTCTGTGGGGAACGCTTGGGCGATAGTCGATCTCTACTTGCCACCAAGGAAATGCCTAAAGGCTGAGCGACCCATCCTACTGGTTTTCATCCTAGGTGATGTGTTTGCATGAACTTGTTGCATTTCTCAATTAGTAAATGCTTCTTGCATTTCTCCCCTAACACTTCTGTAGTAATAATAGCAATAAGATCGCATTAGATTGCTTGTGCAAAAGAAATTGGTGGAGAATCTACATGGGGAATCCAGTTTTCTGCGAGTGATTTCTGGTGCATTTGCTCTGGTTGCGAGATCCTCCTTTTCTCTTTTCCTCTTGGGATGAAATTTCAGGGTCAGATGTTTCCCAGAAACGAGATCACTTGAACTGACTCATATTCCCTGCATCGTCACTATGTTGCCCTATAGAGTTGAAACCTCGATTTGCTGTTTCACTGGTGATAAATAAGGTGAGGCCAAAGTAACTCTTCACCATTTTTAAGTTGACATCGAGGGGTCATCAGCACGAGGCATCTGAAAGACATGTTCATGGTGCCAAAAGTCATACCAGTAATCAGCAACATTTAATGAGGCAAAAGCTTTTGGAAATGTGTGATGCTCATCTGCATGTTTGATCAATGCATCATGCCATTTGACTCTTCTGAAGGAATCATTCGCTCGACGGACTCGTGTAAACCTATTCGCAACTCTACAAGATGGGATTTTTCCTTTTTGCTCTCATCATTCGAAGAAAAGATTGGAGTGAGGTGTTTAAATATATGGGAGCAGATAAGCTTTTGATAGTAACATAATTTACTTGGTGACCGAAACTCTGTGAATGCCCGTCCTTTGCTGGATGTTAACAAGATTGTTCACAATAGTATGTTAAGGGTGTCTATAAAGTCAAATTGTGAGATAACAAAAAGCTTAATAAAAGCTCAAAAATTCAAAAGAAAGCGTGCCATTGTAGGTCACAATGAAGTTGAAGTAAATATGTAATAAAAGCTAAGGACAATGACATAAAATATCCTTGAATTTTGGCCAAATGTGACGTGATTTTTAAACATTTAATTTGTTTAATATATTCTTGAGGCTTTATCTCAATGTGCAATGTGAGTCCCAAACTTTTGGTACATGTTCGAATTAGTTCCTCAATTATATGAAAATATTCAATGTTGTCATTCCATTAATTTGAGTTCAAGAACAATATTGAATATTTTCATATAATCCATGGACTACATCAAAGATGTATTAAAGATCCAAGGACCACACTAAATAGTATAAAATTTAGGACGTTGCACATTAAGTTAAAGTTCAAGAATCATTTACCCAATTGCCCACCAAACAAGCGCAAACCAAATAAGCCTAACGAGGGGAAATCCACTAGTTCATTTCTTCATTCTATTATTCAAAAACATTAGAGGACAAACAAGTACACATAATTGTCCTTGGAAAATTATGTACATGAACAGAATGTCTCCACAATGAAGCCCAGAGAGAGACGGAGAAAATGGGGGCTGACCATCCAAATTTGCATTTGTTCTTCTCATGCGAAAAACTAGTTTTTCTGCATGCTCCTTTTTTCTTTTACGTGGAAGTCCCATTATTGATACCGAAGATTCATTCGAAGAGCTTGGTTCTGGAGCCAGAAATTTGTCCTCAAACTGCATTGATAGTTCTTTTTCACCAAAATAACGTCCTCTGGCAGTTCAGTATAGTGTCTTCCCGGTCAACCGATATGTTCAAAAGACAGGCAAGGGTAATTCTTCGCCTGAAACTCGAGTCCGTTGCATGTCATCATTCTATTAATCTCGAATCACAAGCACATCATTCACGTGCTTCGTCTGTGTCCACATCTAAACTGAAATGCCCTCTGAGGATACTCTTCGGCGTCATTCCAAATCCCTTGGCTATTTCCTTCATTTCTTTGAGTTTCTCAACTTCCCGCTTTATTTGGTTATTTCTACTCAACACAATGTTCAGCAAGTCATCTGAGTCGGCAGGTAATTTTTGACATGCCAATTGGGAGCTCTCTTGCTCGAGTTGCTGGTACAGATTGTGGAGGTAACTCTTTTGAGCATTAAGCTGTTCCTCTGCTACTCTGTATTCCACCTCCTGCGACTTTCTCAGTGACCAGAGAATTTGATCAATCTCATCGTCAAGTTGTACTGATGGACTCTGAAAATCAAAAGAGATGGACTTGTCCGGCAATAGATGTGTCCTGAAATCTAGAGCATCCCGATACAGGGTACCTTCTAGAGAAGGATCTCCATTGCTGGAGACAACTGTGTATGACATCCAATGTATCGGGTGAACATCACACTGTAAATGGCTCATATATGTAAATGTGTTCATAAAAAACAAAACAAAGGTTTGCATATATGTTGACTCCGTGTTTACATTTATGTGTCATTCCTGTGCATGCTTGCAAGATCAAGAGAGTAGTTCAAGTTTCGGTAGTTCATGACAGTCTGAACACAAAAGGATGAGAAAAAGTGCAGATTTTTGTTGACATATGTTCATTTAGTACTTGCAGAGAGAGAGAGAGAGAGAGAGAGAGAGAGAGAGAGTGCTGGGGAAGTACCTGATTTGCTTTCATCTGTCCAGATATTCTCAGGACGAGTCCCACATTTAAGCTGCTGCGGATATGAAACGGTCATAATGCAGATTGTGTAAATGAGACTTGCTCAAAAACTTTCAAGGAAATACATTTACCTTGGTCAAAGCAGATTGAATACGGTTAAGCAGTATCTTAGCACCGGTATTCAGTGAACCATGTAAGAGGCAGCTGCCTAGTTTCAATGCCTTCTCGTGTTCCTCCTGAGAATCAATAGATTTACAAGCCTCAAAGAACCTAGTAACATGAGAAACCAGTTCAGTTTTTGCATCACAACGACGGCAATAGTACTGCGCATCCAGTCCAATGCTTCCACCAACAGTGCCAGCCATGTAAGCTTGGAGAGCACAGTCCAAGTGAGAAAGATGCCCGCATATATGACCCTCGTCGGACAATGCTTCACATTTGATGTAATTATATCCTCCATTAACTGACGTGATGACCTTAAAACAGAGAATACAGCAACAATCTCGACAAAACCCAGGTTCAATGCAGCAAAAATCACAAGGGATAGGTGTTCTGGCGGCTTCCTCTGGTTGTTCAATTGAGCTACTGCATAACTTATTTCGAGCCTTACATCTTAGAGCGCCAGAGGGAGAATCTGATTGGGAATGGTCACCTATCTCTTCGTGATGTGCAGTAAAGAATGGGCGCCTCTCCACGACTCCTATAAAATAAGACCTTAAACAAGAAGCTTCAAGGAATAACACATAGTTACAACATTTAACACAAATTCATATACACAGACTGCCAACAATGAGGCTCATGAGTCATAATTCATAAGGATGTAGACAAGATCAAGAAACCTTGATTATGTGTCGAGCATTACCTACCATGTCAGACCAGAAAAAGAAAAACTTATAAAGTTACAATCAAACAATAAGCCTGGGTCTTGTCGTGAAGATTATTTGCTTCACTCGAGTAGCCGCCATATTTTTATGATGTTAACTGAATACTTATAAAGGGCCCATGATCTCATCAGCCATGGCTACAAAAACAGAGGAACTACAAAAAATAAGCTTGTTCGAAGCAACAAGACATTGAAAAACATGACAAAGATGCTCTAATAACAACTTAGTATACAAAATCAAGGAGGAGTTGATAAGTTGAAGCTTACCACTTGGCAACAGCAGGTTCTTTGAGGGGACTTTCCAGCTAAACGAGGCGAAGAATGCATCGACATCTGCATCGGGGAATGTAGTGCGGATGTACCGCTCTACTGAAAGCTTACTTGCAAAGGGATGTCGAAATGATTGGTCTCGGCAGCAGAGTCTCTTAGGAAGGTAAAGGTACCTATCCTTATAGTCTCCAGTAATCGCCACTCTCTTCCCTACCCTCCACCTCCATTTATCACCGGGAAGAGGGAAATTCTCAGGGGCATATGGTAGACCTTCACCAGATCCATCACATAAAACTGGCTGAAGATAAGAATTTTCCTCGGCAGTAGAGACGTTACCATTGCTCTCATCAGTGATATCTATCTCGGTGCATTCCTGCAGCATCTGACAAGGCATGAAAACAGGCATATCTCCATTACTGTGATTAGTGATATCTATCTCTGTAGATTCCTGGTTCTCACAAGTCACTGAAGCATGTACATTTCCATTGCTCTCCTTAGTCATATCAATGCCCATGGATTCTCCTATCCAGTGAGGAGTCATTCAGACGATTCAACTGCAAGAAGCGTCGTTCGAAGAACATAAGCATCTAGCAGACCCAGTGCGGTAAGATCACCAAGAACAAATGCTAAACAGTCCAAACAATTTTAGCTTATTTTGCAGAATAAAGAGAAAATAGTGCTCTAAATAAAACATGGCAAAATTTTTCATAATTGCATCTCAAACTTTGGATCCATGTATGGCACTTACAAACTTAAACAGAGAATCTAATATGCATATACCCCGATGACATTTCCTAAGCGACATGTTCACCGCATTTCTAAATCACAATGTCGAAAGATCACAACTTTTTCTATGAGCGGGCATTGAATCGTCCAAGCGCATAGCCAGACTCATAAACTTCAGGTACAAAACCAAAACGTACAGTTATACAACAATATCTCAGGACAGAGCTGCCGAAACACCATTTCCAATCTTGCAATACTGGCAAAAACTAACTGACCAGACAAACCATCAACAAGCTTTATTACTTGGGACACCAAGGATCGTTGAACAGGGAAACTACTGCTCCGAAAGAGCGAATTCAAATAGATACCAAATACCATAAAGTAAGCTAAGCAGCAATTTCCGCTGCATTTTCTATGGCGGCCCAAACGTATGAGACAACATAAAAAGCACCCAAATGGATAGTCCTACCGACCCAGGAGAGCTTTCGTAACACACTAAATCCAGTCTACAATTTAGTCCCACACAGCTTCCTCTGAGCCGTACCAATGACTTGGCAACAGATCAAGAAAATATACTCATCAAACAACTTTGTCGAGAAATTCCTGAACAAATCTTCTTTCTTTTCCCATTACTATCCGATGTTAATTAAGAAGTCACTTTCTTCTGATTCGTTTCTTGACTCGAATGCATGAACTACTTCACTCCCGTACTGATGAAACAAAAAACCAACTACAGCGCAGGGAAAAAGGAAAAACAAAACGAATGGCAAGAGTGGGGTGTAGGGCTTCGCCTGAACGGCGAGAACTAAAACCCAAACTGCAACATACCCACCAAACTTGAGCTCTTCAAACTGCAGATACGAGGAGACAACTTGCTTCAAGCTGGCATTTTGAAGCCAGCTCCCGGCGAAACAGAGACGCAGACGGTCTTAAACCTAGTCTTCTTTCCTTGACATGCCTCACTTGCTGCGAAAAGAAATACAAAGGTACAACGACAAAAATGACAGCTATTCTCGTTTTCTGGTTAAAAGCGAAAGCCACCCAAAAAACACGAGCTTCCCACTTTCCGGAACGCGACTTTCGGGCGCTTGGTGAAGTGGGATGAGACGAGCAGTATGGTCAGAAGATCGAGGAAACGAATCATCCGTGTCCCAACCGGCGAGTGGCTTGGGCAGGCCCGGGTTAGACATCGGGCCAAAAGAGCCACTCATCTGTCCGTAGTCCGAGAAATGTCGCTATTATTTTCATGGAAAACTGTTCGGTCGGGTTTGACCATGAAGACAACTGATTGCTCAGGCCTGCTCGATTTGTTGCTTCGGACATGGCGGGACTAAGACGAGCCTAGCAAAACTACTGCTAAGCCTAACAACATGAACAGGTTTTCAACTTTATACAAATTGTCATTACTTGTACTCTCGCGAGTATTTAACCAGTCGACCAATCTTACTTTTAAGATTTGCTCGAGATCTAAAGTGATTGGGTTAAATGTCTTCCCAAATGTGCAAACACTCTTTTCAAACGTGAGATTGATTCTCGGATTTTTTTTTTTTGTGCGACCGAGTACCTTTGTTAATACTTCATTTAAAGCTAGTTGCCCTCGTCTAGATCGGGCCATTGCCACCAATAGGGGAGAGCCAACGACCCGCATCATTCGTGGTCCTCTCTCTCTCTCTCTCCGCTTTCTGATTTAGCCCTAGTCGACGGCCTCATATTGGAAGTTGTTTAATTTGACAAAGAAATGGAAAAATAAAATATATTCTTCAAACGGTAAAGGTAAATAACTTAAGACACGGTTTGATATTAAGAGTACAGCATGAAAAAATATGAAGAAAAGTTGGGAGAAGTTGACTTGGGTATTAGCATAGAAGGGATGACATATGACGCCAAATTGAAGATGCACGAGATGGTAGGCAATTTCGTTCATGGAAACAGCAGAAGGTGTGAAGGTGGCGTACCTCCTTCGAATGCAACCCAAAGAAAATGGGGGAGAATAACGTTCCAAAAGCGGCGTGCGCTAACCTAGAGAATTATCAGTATGCAGATGTGGTCGGAATACGACATAGCATGGCCGAATTCGGAACAACGGCAGTGTTAAATGTTAATGCAACCGACTTCAAAAGGTAGACGGATGGAATTGAAGGACAAACAGAGAGGGCAAATGAAGTATTGGGGGGAAGAACAACGACAGAAAATGAAGAAGAGTTGTTCAAAGAAAGAGATGTCGTTTCCCGAAATGAAGCGAATGGCGTGTGGTTGAAAAGAAGAATGTTGGAACAGCAAAATGATTCAAGCGAAGGAAAGTAAGTTGATTCAAGCTAAGGAAAACAAGATGATTTCATGCGAAGGAAAAACATTTCTCCAGGGCTGCAGCATGCCTAGTGACAACTGATTTTTACCAAAACTTAAGAGAACATATTTTGCTAATACCTATATTCACATCCCAAGCTCATTCAGAGAACAATTTGTTTCCATGCCTAGAAAGAATGTCTACAGGGGAGGAAGAATGCATACAGGAAAAATAAAAATTGGGACCAAGCAAAGACCCACCAGAGTCACCAGATTCATCATAGGTTTCAAGTCCAAGACCTTAGTTCCTGAACTGAAAGCATTCCTCTAGCACACTGCTCTGAGCCTCTAGGACAAAATTTGCACAACCTAGAAATAGTTCTGCATTATTCTGCTCAAGCAGCACCGCACCTTTCCTTATTTTCTCTTCCCTGTTTTGCACGGTCGTACTTGTCGCCTAAAATGATCCCTTGCCACTTTCTTCGCTTCAGTTGCTTGACACAAGGCAATGTCCATACCAGAAAGAAGAAAAATGTAGGAGGTCGCCATACCGATCTTGAATCCCCAACTCCCCCACCGACGAGTGTCATGGGCTTTGGTTGTCCATGTCTAGACCGAAATGCTCTCTCAGGATACTTCTTGATGTCTTACCAAACCCTTTTGCTACTTCTTTCATCTCCTGGAGTCTGTGAACTTCCTGCTTGATTTGATTATTCCTATTCAACACGACATTCAGCAAGTTGTCAAAGTCATCTGATATTTCTTGACCCGCCAATTCGGAGCTCTCCTGCTCCAGTTGCTGGTACAGATTGTGAAGATAACGCTTCTGAGCGTGAAGCTGTTCCTCTGCAATTCTATATTCGAGTTCTTGCGACTTTCTCAGGGACTGGAGGACCTGATCAATCTCTTCTTCAAGTCTCACAGATTGAGTCTGATGATGAGAAATAATGGACTCGTCCATCAATCTGTGTCCACCTTCTAGAGGAGGATTTCCATTATCAGTCACAGCTGTGTATGACGTCCAACACCCAGGTGAACATCAAACTGTAAATAGCTTATCCATGTAAATGTGCTTGAAAGTGACAACAAGAATAACAAATCCGTCAAATTATCTAGATGCATATGCATGAAGAGACTAGTTGTTTCCTAGCGAAGCTATATAAGAGTTACAAACTTCATTCCTTAATCACTATACTGCCACAAAAAGGAATGAAACAGGCAGATTATTTTGGTACGTAGAAATCCAAGAACCAACGCTGTGGAGATACGTAGTAAAGTTCTCAAAAGATAGAGCAAGGGAACAACCTGAAATGACGTCTGCTGTTGAAAATTCCTCATGAGAAGCAAATTTTAGCTGTCGTAAATATCAAATAGTCATACTGCAAGTTTTGAAGGTGAGAGACAGAAGTTCTACTGCAAAAACAACGAGAAATGAGTGGTACCTTGGTCAAAGCAGACTCGATTTGTTCAAGCACAGTCTTGGCACTTGTTTTCTGAGAACCGCGTAAGAGGCAGAAAGCAAGTTTCAAAATTTTCTCACATTCATCAGGAGAATCAATAGATTTAGAAGCCTCCAACAGTCCGGTAACATGGGGGACTAGCCCGGTTTTCACATCACACCGTCGGCAATAATACTCGGCATCCAACCCAATTACCCCTCCTACCGTTCCAGCCATGTAAGCTTGGAGAGCACAGTTCAGGTGAGCAATATGCCCACAGATATGATTCCCATCAATCAATGCTTCGCATTTGATGTAATCACACAATCCGCTAGCTGGACTAATGGTCCTCCAACATAGGATGCAACAACAATCTCGGCAAAACCCGGGTTCACTGCAGCATTGATCACAAGGCCAAGATGGGCTGACAGGTTTCTCTGACTGTTCAAGTAAGCTACCGCACATCCTATTTCGTGCCTTGCACCTCAAAATGCCAGGATCAGAATCCAACTCAGAATGCTCCGCAATCTCTTCATTATGTACAGGAAAGAATGGACGCCTTACAGCAATGCCTGGGAAATGAAGCACAATTAAGCATGAAGAAGTTCCAAGGTGAAAAAAAAAAATACAGAAATTTGAAAGAGTCCACATGATCCTACACAGATATTTACTTATAGTCACCTTCTGACACAAAGCGAACCAAAAAAAATCTGTCATCTATAGTTATTTAACAATGATGGAACTCCATTGATGTTGTACAAAGAGGAACATCAACCATCCAATGAGAGCAGGTGGAATGAGCTGTAAATGAGTAGCCAAGTCTGAACTTCCAACCACCAGCAGAGAGGGCACCAGAAAAGGATCTAAGTTATTATATGTAAACATCACTTTGTGGAGTGAAATGAAGCAAAGTTTAGGAGAGAGCAAGCGAGTGGAGGGACAAAGTGAAAATCACAACTTGGTGACTGAACATAACAAAGTTACCGCATGAAAAATACTGAATGTGCGTGAGAGAGAACAATTTGACTATGGAGAGTTACTAGGTGATATATTCTGTGAAGAATTAAGTAAACAACCAAAAGTTCTCTCATGTTAAATGAATGAAACACTACTATTGGTATAATTATGGTTTAATGGTGAATTGTCCAACACGACATGATTCCTGCATATGGTATGTAAAAGTACTCAAGCCGCTTTATCAAAACACTCAAGGAACAACTCTTATATACAAAATACGAGGGATAAGTTGTTAATTGGTTACCATGTACCAACGGCAGTTTATTCGAGGGGATTTTCCAGATGAAAGATGCGAAAAAGGCATCAATATCCGCATCAGGAAATTTGGTTCGGATGTACCGTTCAACTGAAAGCTTACTCGCAAAGCAGTACTTCTTGCACGTCAACTTCTCAGAAGCACGGAGTCGCTTGGGTAGATAAAGGTACCTATCCAGATAGTGGCCAGTAATAGCCACTCTCTTCCCCACTTTCCACCCCCATTTATCACCAGGAAGAGGAAAATTCTCGGGAGCATAAGGCAGACCTTCACCAGATATATCACCTGAAACTGGCTGGAGATCACCATTTTCCTTTACCTCAGGATTCTTTCCGTTACTCTCATCAATGATAATGATCTCCGTTGATTCCCGCATCTCCTGACAATTTATTGGACCATTGACGTTTCCATCAGTCTCATCGGTGTTATCAATCTTCGAGGATTCTTGCTTCATCTGAAAAGTCATAAAAACAGGTCAACTATAAGAAGCAACTCTGAAGAGCACAAGCACTAGGAATATCAAATGTACAAACTAACTCTTTACGATCCTAAACATCACATGCTTCTCCCAAGTAACGTCCTATTAAGTCAACATACGCATCTTAAGTATCAAAAAGCTTTTACGAAGTACATCCCATACCCACTATAATTTATCAAATAAACAGCATATCTGAAAAAGAGTACCAATGACCAACAGATTCAAGAAGATCGTCGATGTCTGCACAAATGACAACAAAGATCCAGTTTATACCTCCAGACTGGAGTTTCAGGTACCAAGTAACACCTAGGTAGGGACATACTCTAACAAAAGGTCCGCCAAAAATCTCATTGCCAGAATCGCATTCTTAAGTAAGACACATGTGCACAACATCCCGAACCGTGCTAATTCGGCAGGCTAATAACAGTGGAGCCGGGGAAGCTGCATCTTTCCAGAAGCAAATTAATGCAGAGTCCACTCCAACAGTCAATAAGAACCTAAGAGCATTCGACACTCTTTCCTAAGGTGGACTTGCCATGGGGGTGCCATTTGTTTTATGGAAGATGGATGATTCGTAATACATTTTCCTAAACACAATTACCTATATCGGTTAAAATAATTGGCCAACGAGAAATGACATCATTACCCAGGACAATTAATATCTCGATACTTTCATGGACGATGAAAATAAATTTTGTTTATTCATTATTGCATGCAATACAAGCGACGATTTTTTAGGAAAATATTTTTCAAATCATCCATTTCCCGCGAAACAATAAGAGAAGCCTAATATCGAATTGGTTACATTCTGGAGGAGCAATATCAATACCATATCACTCTGAAGAAAAGAAAGCGTCCAAATGGTATTTCGTTCTATCACCCAAACGCATGCAGCCACCGGATAGAGACACGTGATCAAACCCAACCTCAAATTTGAAACATCAGACAAATGGGTCTACGAAAAATCATCCCTTTCCTCCGAATTTCCTCACCCCAGTGCAAAAGCACAGCCCGACACCAACAATCAACCAAGATGCGACGGAGCTTGGTACCTGAAACGGGACCGAATCTCTCCCAGAACTCGACCCAGGACGGCGAAAGATCAAATCTTTCGTCGAATCAACAGAGTCTAATCAGCTGACGCGAGCTCCGGAATCGCAGCCACGCACCCCCGGCGGAGCATTTCCCCTGCGCGGGATCAAAGGAGCGTAGAGGGTGCGAGCGAATGCATTCTGCTGACTGAGTTAAACCCTAATTTTGGTGTCGTCTACAGATGCCGAGATCTCCGCATGCTGCTGCTGTCCCCCCCAAAAAAAATCCAAGCTTTAATCTGGGATTAGTGGAGCTAAATCAGCTCAAATGGCGCAGGCACTTTCCTCGTTTTGCTTTTCCTTTTTCATTTTCACTAAAGAAAATAAAAAGCGACCAAAAAAAAAAAGAATTGATATCATGAAAAACATTAAACCGATATACTTATAATAAATTTATCCAAAATCCACCAAAAATCTCAAACTGGTACATTTGTAACAAATTAACCATCCGTTAAATTGGATTAATATAAAAAAAATCACAAATTAGTACACTTGTGACAAACGGAGGGTAAAACTCCAAACTGGTACATCCGTCAATTACCATGTGTCATTTAACTCACCAATTTGACAGTAAAATTAAATAAAAATTAACGGAAGATAAATTTGTTATGGATGTACTAGTTTAGAATTTTCTGTGGCATTAGCCCTAAAAAAAAAAAAAGGACATTGTTTTTCTAACGTGGTCAATGAACTTGTAATTTATGGAATTCATTGAATTTACAGAAATTTTCTAATCAAAGTCTCTCGACCTTGAATTTCAAAAGATTTTAGTCAATGTGCGGCGGGCGCTCTTAAATGGTACGATATTGAACTAATCAACCCAGTCATTAAATGAAAACTATTGAAAAATTTCTCAATTGTATATGGGATAATTGTTCCTACTACTTAATCCGATTTCTTGTAATGATGCTTATTTATCGAGATAGGAGTGCAAGAGATGTCATCAGTAAAATTCTCCAAGTTAGTTGCGAGATCACATGTGTACTTTCTTTCTATTTAAATGATGAAGTTATGTGAAAATGAACAAGATCTTTTGTTTTTGGGCCCAAGTGAAAATGAACAATATGTTGCTCTTGATTTCTACTTCATCCTTAGGACTTCAATTGGTGCTCATATTGAAGCTTAACTTGAGCTCAAAATGAAATTCTATATTGATGATCAAGTAATTGCATTGGACATTGAGAAAATTAAACCATTTCAAGTATACAGATCTGACCTATCAAGAGCATATTGAAAATTGTTCAAAATTTTTAAAGAAAAACAAGAGTGTGGTCATAACAACCTATAAGAAAAAAAAAAAAATATATATATATATATATAGCTGAGAAACCCCACCTCATACAATAAATCCAAGGCCTATGACACATATAAGTAATGTCATGATTTGGATAAAAAGCAAAGTAAATTCCGAATGAGTGATCCAAACATAGAATTATGGAAAGAGAGTATGTGACGGTTAATTTCTTCTTGAAAGATTTCTAATTGCCCTTCTTGGACATGTGAGGCAACCCATCGAACAACGCCGTGATTTTCGAGCAGTAACAACACCTTTGTGCTAGCATCGCTCTAGAATTATTTGCAGTTCGACGGTGTCAAGAATCAAACATTCATGACAGGGACAAACATTCGAGTCCATTAACATCTACCGAACCAAACAAATACTCCCATGGCGAAAACAGGGGAAGAAAGAAGAAACGCATTGCAGAAGTAGCAAGTTCAAATTCAAGCACAGATCCTGGGTCGAGCAAGAACAGTCAGACCCACCTAACATCATGCCTGTTCCTGATACTTAAATCTGCTTCTGCTAGGGAACTTTTGAACGACGCTTTCCTAAACCATGCGGTGGTAAGAAAGACCGCGAATCACCGAATTAACATGGACATGCAGCAGATTTCAAGGTCTTGTGAAGGAACTCTCAGAAAGAGAAAACTGAAGTGGGATGCTTCAGCAAGCATTAGGATAGAACTCTTGTGCCCTCAGAGGAGTTGTACAAAAACTATGAATCATCGTCTACACGATCGGGGTGATGCATGAGGCACGCCGTGTTGATCCCCGTTTTTAGGGCTGAATATTTGAAAAAATAACCTTGGAGAGGTGCATACCGGGCAAGAATGTCAGTAACACGCTTGCTCGAAGTTTTCCTCTTGAGTTCCCATTGCGGGATTTCGGCACTGGCAGCTTCAATCTCTTACATCGCAGCGGAAATTGAGTCCCCTAGGTTCATCAGCTAGGGGATCAGCTGATTCTTTTCGATCTTGTTTGACTCGATATTGCTGGTTAGTTCGGGCCAGCTAGATTGAAGCTTAGAGATTTGCTCATCGATGTGTTGCTCCTCCAACGACCCAGAATCGATCCCTAACTGCAACTTGATTGCACTCTTCTTCTGTTCAGCAAGCTTTTCCTTGAGAGAAGATTTCTCATCCTTCTTTGTGTGAAGACATTCATAAAATTTCTCGACTTGCTCAACAGTTTCCTTGCTCTGTAAGGAACACACTACCTGCTGGAGGAATTTCCTCGACCGAATTCAACTTCACCAGCTGATCAACACTCGGCGTCAGGTCCTCCGCTAGCCTGATTGTTAAGGACTTGAGTTCCTCTAGGTCCTCCAGGGAGATCAAAGAAGGGAAATCCTAGTCAAGGAGGGACAAGAACCGCCTGCAACAATCAGACAAATCTCTCGCAACATTGGAGCCAATATCTGGTGAAGGAGTTAATATCTCGGCTTCATGTAGGTGTCGAGAAAGAACATCCACCAGGGATTTGACAGAGTCACCAAAATCGTCTGCACACAATTCGCCATGAGATCCACAAACTTCTCCAAGTTTCGGAATCACACTAGCTCTGGAGTTGTGGGAGATAGGAATTTTACTTTAGCAAGAGAAGCATCCTACAGATTATTCCTAGAGTTAGAGTCACATGTCAAGCCTTCACGGCACTTGAGTTAATCTCATAATCTTCATCTTCATTGTTGGAAGAAACTGACATTTTGTACGATTGGAATTTAGTGACGACAAAATATGAGCACACACAAAAGTATCTAGAGAGCCATAAAAGTATTATCGACAGCTCATCAAAAGGAAAACGGAAAAATCAGTTCTTTATATACGAGAGGTAAAGTCAATGACAAACACAGAATGAAAGAGGGAGACTTTAAGTAATGTGACCAATAAGGAACTGAGCTGAAAACTGCACAAGTGCACATGCAGATTTCACCATATAATTATAGTGGCATTAGAGCTGAAAGTGACTAAACAGACTGGATTATGCTCCATGACACGCGAAGAGCCAAAAAAATTCCAATACAAACTTGAAAGGGAAGGAAAAATCTGTTCTGTACACAAACAGACATGAACGGAAAAGACTCAAGAGGGCTTACTCGCGGATCTCTGGAGTTTTTGTTGGTAAGCCTGAGAACAAAGCTTGCCTTGGGGTAAAGTTTGTTCCAGATGAAGACAAAACGGTAAGAACAGAACAGCACAAGCCAAAGGAATTACACACAAACAAAAGAATTCGCATTCATGCCCGGAACACAACGAGGAAAAGAAGGTAAAATCCAGAAAAGTGAAAAGGGAAAACGTTGAAGCTGGAACTAGGAATCACGAGATTGGTCTGTTGCTTCACTAGAAAATTTGTCTGCACCAGAACAAACGGGTTACGGCGTTCGGGTTTTTGTGCCCGGATTGGCCTTTCGATGCTTAAGTTAGCACCGGAAATGAGGGAAGTTTAGAAGGGAGAGAGGGTATAAGCTTAAGGTTAAAAAAGAGGTTCTCCTAAAGAGGAAAAAGTGGAAGAAGTACCCGAACGCTCATATCAATATTTATATGTCATTGTTGATGGGTCATCACACCGTATTTATACAGGTCCTAATCTATAGATGACAAATGGTTAAAAGAATGCGACAATTGACGTCCACGCTGTTTTATGGACTAATGCATGTCGAACCTTTTAGATGGTGGTAGCACTGTTGGCCCTTCTAATGAATTAGCATTAAAAATCGCGTCTTGTCAAGGGTCGAAACCGTTTACATAATAAGTAGGAACTGACAGTTAAAATACTCAAAATCTGTTGGCGCTATCACGACAAGCGTCGATGGTCGATTAGTCGGTCGAAATCACCCTCTCACCAGAAACGAAACAAAAGATGATCATCAAGAAACAGCCCAGAGTTTCAAGAAAGCTGATGAATTCTACCAGAATTTACGCTTCAGCTCTGCAGAAGCAGCTTGAAGCTCAAACTTGACCATGACTCTACGACTCTGTCACTGTGAATTACGTCAACTTTGATCGATCTTGGTTGCTCTTGCGGTTTCAGCTTTGGATGCAGAACATTACTCTGCGAGCTCCTCTGTTCACCTAAATCAATTATTACGCGCCAGATATCACAAATTTAATCGATTCCTTTCCAAGATGGTCGAAATTTTCGATGGAGCAATCGGCTGCGGTGAACAGGAAAGTCGTGTTTAGATGATCGAACAAATAGAAGAAAAAATAAAATTAGTAAAATTCAAAACCAACATGTAACTAATATAGGATGGAGATTGTGATACAACGTGAAATGCGAGATGCTGTAGTGGCAAGTTCGACCGGAAATCAGCGCGACCTCGACATAAACCGACCTCTTGTTTTTACTAGGATTCAACACCTAATCAAGGAAACTTTGTTATTTCCAGTGTACTCTCCTTTTTTCATCTTATGTGTAATCAGCGTATTGGGGATTAAAACATTTCTAAACCAGATATAATGATTAAAAGTGCCTCAAGAGCACTCGTCAACAAAACCTTTGATATTAAAAATTTTGTCAAGTGAAGTGAGCATAAGTCTTAGTTATTTTAAAATGAGGAAAAGAAAGTATTTTTTGACATACACACTGTAAAACAACATAATCTTTTTCTGTCTATGTTGAAACTTCATCAAATTAGAATAAAAGGAAAAGTTCTTTTTTTCACATGACGATACATTTTGTTCATACTCTTAGTAAAAACAAGAGGAAAAAGAAATCTCTAAAAGTCTCATCATACATTATTCTGCTAATTCGCTGCATAAATAGTGGAAAGAGTATTCAAGTTCAAAGGCTAGCAGGTTGTAAGAGAGTCATGCATTACAAGATCGATAAGCCGAATTATTAGAATTCATGGTCCGAGATAAGCAAGACTGTCAGAAACTGTTGACTTGAGCCAATGAATCACATTCCATGGCAAGCCACATTCGATTGTATCCCTTTCTCGTGCATTAATTGACTGATACTTCGAGCTACAATGTGCATGCTGTTGCAAACAACAGCATTAGAAATGCAAACAACAGCATACTTCGAGTGATGAGCTGTGAATTGTGATTCACATTGAGTTTTAACTAGTAGCTCTTTCCATTAATACTAGCAATTCAGATTACACAATTGGTGACCCTATTAAACCGACCGAAATAAGCTTTCATATTCACATCAATTCGAGAAAACACTGAGAAAGTTCCAAAGTAAGGAATGAAATACATAAGCTACGAAGAATGGTTAATGATGAAATCATCGGCTGCGGTGCGAGAGATCAATTTCAGCTGGATTTCTCAAAGGAGAAACCTTTGAGAGGCGCATACCTGTCAAGGATCTCAGCCATTCGCTTTTCGGCATTTTTTTTCTTCATTCCCCATACTGGGATTTCAGCACTGGCAATCTGGATCTCTCGCATGACGGCTGATATAGAGTTTGCCATGATCTTCTGCTCAGCAACCACCTGCGCTTTCGCCTTATTTGTCGACTCAAGATCATGAGTAAGTTCGGCTTTCCTAGATTGAAGCTGCGCAATTTGTTCATCTATTTCTCGCACAAGAGGTGACTTGGAATCTATCTGAGACTGCAATTCTCCTGCTCCCTTCTTCAGCTCACTGAACTCTCTCTTGATGGAAGCAACCTTGTCCTTCATGGCCTGAAGTTAGCGATGCAGGGTCACTGAACTCTCTCTTGATGGAAGCAACTCTCTCTTGCTTCCCCTTCTCCATAATGCTCGTCAGTTAGCGATGCAGCCACCTTGCACAAAAAAAGCCATCTCAGAGCAACATAAAACGCGAAACACCCCATCACATAACTAGCTCCTATCATTAAAATATCCTTATCCACTCAGGTATTTTGTTACAAAAAGGCTTTTGAAACGAAGGAGACAGAAACCCCATTCACTGATTCAGGGGAAAGATGGAAACTTTAGCATGATAATCACTAGTAAGAGCGACAATGTTCAAGTTCATCATGAACAGTAACGACAAACAAAAGTCCCCACAAATCTAAAGGGAGGAACGAGTTAGAGGAACGAGCCAGAGCCTGAGCACATGTTTCCACGCAGAAAAAAATCTAAAAACACCAAGATGAAGTCGAAAATAAATGAAGAAAACCAGTAAAAGTGAAACCTTTTATGCTAAGACTTGAAGATGATGAGGAGATGGCAGAGCCCTCAAAGAACAAGAAGATCATAAACCCACAAGCAAAGCGTACGCAGCAAAAATTTTCACGCAGAAAGCTTGAAATGAAGGACCTTACCTCGCCACTTTGAGGTTGAAGATGGTTGAGAGCTTTCTGGGTCTGTGTTCTCGCCTCTTGTTTTCGTTTCTTGTTCCTTTGAGCTTTTTTCTGAAGCGAGGTAGAGACAGAGGAGATTTACTGACTGAGTACAACGATCCGCAACGACACTTTTACCCTTGCATGTGCCACTGGCTTTGTTCCATTTTCGGGGCTCCGACGGATTTGATTCGCTGTGAAGTCCGAGGAGACCCAAGAAAGGTATTGGTTAGAGATATCTTAGAAAATTTGTCCTAATTATCATCGGTTTCATTAATTCTGTTTTCTCTATGAAGCACCCACCAAATACCATGCAGAATGCCTTGATATCTTATTATGGAAAATCACAGAGGGGGGAGAGAGATAGAGAGAGAGAGAGAGAGAGAGAGAGAGAGAGAGAGAGATTTTATTTTTGTCTACATGCTTTTGGTAATTTACTTAAAGTTTTTGTGCCTATGTGTATGGTGTTCGTATATGGTGTTGCTGTGACTCAGAATGACACTTGGTGAGTAACTTTTGTTCTTTACCTTGAAATTTTTGTCATCAAGTAATGTGACAAAGTACAAATTTAAGTATTTCAAATAATAGATCTTGGTCTTGTTCAAGACCCTTTTTCATTCGGTCTTATGGAGATTCTCTGTTAATATTTTTTGGTACTTTCTTCAGCGTTCATTGTCAAAGATGAAAGGGATCAATGCGGGATGGTCCCATCTTCCTCTCTTAACATTTTTTCGTTTTGAATAGGAGGTTCGTCTTTTGAAAGTTCTTTGTGTTTGTCTTTGTGAAAAGATGCTACTTTTTGCTCTTTACTAGCATTCTTGCAGCATTGCTACTTCCTTTCCGAGAGTGCAGTCTCCGTGTCTCAGCCATAAAGGATTCTTCGGGAAATAGAACATGCAGTTAGGTGATTCTTCTTATAATGCTCCAGAATATGCAAATTTTTATCAAATATCAACCTATGGCTATCAACAAATTGATTTGAATTGAAGGGACAAAAGCCTTTTTCCTATTCATGAAGCCGAAAGCAACAGAGAAAAGGATCTTGTAGAATCACAACGCTCGTGTTCAATATAAGCAGGAAATATTATGTATATGTTTTCCCCATCAGTGCTCATCATCTTTTCAAATATACACTATCATCACTTCTCGCTGCTCTATACTGGTTGTCTTCAAAAGAATTCTTCAAGATTTTGCCTTCGAAATCAATTTACATCTTTGTCTCCTGCTCTTGTTTTGATGAAAAGCAGTGGCTCATGAATGGCAATAGTTGGAAATTTACCAGCAGCCCCTTTCTTGACCAGGAAAATTACCCCTGATGACAATATCACCCCTGCATGGGCATGCCACGAAGTACGAAGGCAGAACAGACCCTGCAGTTACTATGCATATGTTTTGATATCCTATAACGGGAATCACAGAAGAGAGCTAAGTATTTTTGTTAGTGTACCTCTTTTATGTGTTTTGTTTGTCTGGGCACATGTTGTAGCTATAGCTAAGATGGGCGTTTGGCGAGCGATGTTAAGTGTCGTGACAGAATTACAAATTAATATTTACCAGAAGAAATTGTAGTTCAAGAACCATGCTTAAGTTTTTTCATAAGCATTTTCCATTGATACCCTGTGGCAACATCGTCTTTACTAACGCTAAATACTATTGGCTCTATCACCAGCCCAAACACGAAGTTTTGGAAAATAGGACATGCAATAGGTGATGGTACTGTGGTCTGTACTGCTGGGCCAAACAATCATCATTAAAATGCCGGTCTTCATATCAAACATAACATATGACCGAGCAAAGGGACATAACATTATTTTTTCTTGTTTGTCAAGCCAAAAGCGAAAAGGGATCTTGTTGAATACAAAATGCCTGTATCCTAAATAAGCAGGATAAATTCACAAGTTTCCCTCATCTTCTCTCTCTCTGCTCTTTAAGTGATTCTCTTCAAAACCTTGCTACCAGAACTGGCCTTCAGAAAATGCATCTCATGATCCATCCACAGTGCAAAGTTGATTTGCTCTGACGCCAGAATATTTCCTGAGTGGCATGTGACACAAGATGAGAAATCAAGTGACATCTATCGTTCTCGTTGATTTGGATGATATGCAGTTTGGCTAATGAATGGAATTAGTAGGAAACTTAATCACCTGCAGTCCCTTTTGGTATCAAGCTATCTTAGAACAAGAGCTGGGGGGTTGGAGAGGTGCATGTTCTGATGCAAGAACTAGTGATGTCCTTGCAAGTACTCTGCATGCAACATCATGAGTTGTTCTGCCACCTGCGAATTGTATTGCCCTTGTTATGTTCAAATACATTGGAGTGTCCAAAGATACAAGAAGTAAAAACTCAGGCCAATACATTACACAGTACCTCCTCAATGCTTCCATCCTCCATCTCTGTGTTGAAAGAAAGCAGCATGCATTCGTGGAGAAAATTCTCCAAGTCCTCAACATACAAAGCTTCTGCCAAGATGGGACAAAAGAACTCTAATTTCTACAAGGAAGTGCACCCAATTTCCCTTCATATTATAAGCGGTAAACCAGTCAATTAAAGTGAATTATGTGACATTTTGATGGCTCAATCACATGCAGATCATACCTGCATTGGTTAATTTGCAGGGCGAGTTGATAGGTCTCTTTAATCTAATAGAAATTTAATCATGAAGACTTTATTAATGGTTCCTATGGATTGACTTTTACATTTTACTTTTTACTTAATCTAAAACTCACGCCTCGTGCACTTTGAATTTTTCTAAATCGAAACTCTTGAAACTTTTACAATATACATACATCACATTTGGAATCACATATAATATATTTCACAGTTTTCTGAAATAAATACGCTTTCAATACAGACCTTTTGAGCAAGCAAAGCATGAGAGTATATCAGCAGCAAGCTGGCGAGACTTCCGGAGAGAATCGGGGCCACCCCATTGGTTCTCGACGGCTAGCTGAAGGCCACGCCATCGCGAGAGGAGCACGGTGATCCCTTCCTGGAGGCGAGCCACAGCCTCGGGCTTCTCGTGACCGACATGGCACCACCGTTTGGTCGCGAAATCGGAGTCCATTGGGCAGGAAAAAAAAACAACAATGTGCCAGAGAGGGGGAGAGGGAGACAGAGCACTCCTTGCAGTGTTTCAATGCTCTCCCTCTCCCTCTCTCTCTCTGCCCCTCTCTCTCTCTCTCTCTCCAATGGAGAGGGAAGATGGAAAAGAGAGAGTTTGTGAGTGAATTCCATGAAGGGCATCATTAGCAGATATGAAGGATGGAGAGGGAGAGAGCAGAGAGAGTTTTTGGGAGCGAAAAGTTGGGATCTGAGATGAGAAATGATGAGGATGTGAGAGCTTTGAGGCCCTTATAGTTGCAACAAAGTTGGTGGATCAACAACCATACTCTGAAAAAAGAAAGTAAGTACTTTTGAAAATTTTGTAATTTTGCATTTTATCATCCTTTTTCCACATGAGCATTGTGCCGGAATTTAAATACTTTTTTTTATTATATACAATTAACGAGAACACTCATTAAGAAAATCCGTTTTTTGAATAGTATTCGCGCCATTCTTTTGCCAAATTTAGTCGAATTGAGCGAAAACTGATAATGGGTAAGGTTAGTAGATTTCTTGTTTATATCTTCATTGTAGTATTGCTTAGCTCATGCACGCTCCTAGTTATTAAAATGTTTTTGTGAGGACTTATTAATTCTATTATTAAATGATGAAATATTCGATTTTCAAGCTATCGATCCTTCGTATGGCAAGAAAAACTAGAGAAATTAATGATTTTGAAAATCGACAATTTCCTCTTTATATTTTCACGGCATACTCTTTAACAAAGTCCTAAATAATTCATCTTTTCAATGTCGGAAGAGTGAAAAAGACTTAAATTAAATGAACTGGAAATACACAGTATTGATCTCAACGGACACGATCTGCTCTTCTTCATCTAACGGTCTACAAACCGGTCTTTTCTGCGAGAACTGCAAAAAGCTTCGACGCGGGAAGACGACGAAGACGACCGCTGCGTTGGTGAAGAAAGCTTCGAACTTTGCCTTTCTCCGATTCTAAAACTCTCGTCTTCTTGATGACGAGCGACGCATTCTTCGGTTCTTGATGCTGCAATCTCGCCGCCGCCGCCGCAGAAGATGACCGCCCCCGCCGTCGGACATGTCCGTCCGCGCCGTCGACTCCCTCGTGTCCCTCCTCTCCGCGGCCGTGTCGGCCCGCTCCCCTCTCCTCGGCCGAGCCGCGCACGCCCGCGTCGTCAGGACCCTTGGCCACCCGCTTCCCGCTCTGGTCTGCGACCACCTCACCCACATGTACTCCAAGCTGAACCTCCCGCGCTCGGCCCAGCTCGTCCTCCGGCTCAACCCGACTCGCTCCGTCGTCTCCTGGACCTCGCTGATCTCTGGGTCTGTCCAGAACGGCCACTTCAGCTTCTCCCTGCTCATGTTCGTCGGCATGCTGAGGGAGCGCATCCGGCCTAATGATTTCACCTTCCCCTGCGTGTTCAAGGCCTCTGGCGGTCTCTGTATGCCCGTTACTGGGAAGCAGATTCATGGGATTGCCATTAAGGTCGGTGAACTTGTTGATGTGTTCGTCGGGTGCAGTGCCTTTGATATGTACTGTAAAACGGGGCTAAAAGATGATGCGAGGAAGCTGTTCGACGAAATGCCCCAGAAGAGCAGAGTAGCCTGGAATACGTATATTTCTAATGCGGTGCTCGACGGAAGGCCCCAGGATGGTATTAGCGCATTTATTAAGTTTAGGAGAGTGGGTGGTGTTCCTGATTATATAACACTGTGCGCATTTCTCAATGCCTGTTCGGACACGGCAAATTTAGAGCTTGGTCACCAGCTCCATGGGTATATTTTTAGAAGTGGATTTTTGGTGGACGTCTCTGTAGCAAATGGATTGGTCGATTTCTATGGGAAATGTGGGGAGGTTAGTTGTTCTGAGATGGTGTTTGACGAAATTCACGAGCCAAATGACGTTTCTTGGTGCTCACTAACGTCTACATTAGTGCAGAATCATGAGCAAGAAAAGGCTTGCATTACTTTCTTAATGGCTAGGAAAGAAGGGATTCGGCCAACAGATTTCTTGGTATCCTCTGTGCTCCATGCCTGTGCTGGCTTAGCATGGCTTGAGCTTGGTAGGTCAGTTCATGCACTTGCCATGAAGGCATGCGTGATGGGAAATATTTTCGTGGGCACTGCATTGGTTGACATGTATGGAAAATGTGGATGTATTGAGGATGCGGAAGGGGCCTTCTATGACATGCCACAAAGAAATCTGATTACTTGGAATTCGTTGATCGGTGGTTATGCACATCAAGGGCTTGCCGATATGGCTGTAGCTGTGTTTGAGAAAATGCTGTCGAGTTGCAGTGAGATTATACCAAATAATGTGACCTTTGTGTGTCTATTGGCAGCTTGCAGTCGAGCAGGATATGTAGAGGTCGGTATGGATATCTTCGCATCAATGAGAAGAAGATATGCAATTGAACCTGGGCCGGAGCATTACACATGTATTGTGGACCTGCTAGGGCGGGCTGGGATGTTAGAGCGGGCATATGACTTTATCATGAAAATGCCATTTCGACCCACGATATCAATATGGGGAGCTCTCTTAGGGGCCTGTAGGATCCACAGGAATCCAGAACTTGGTAGAATTGCAGCTGAAAACTTATTTCAACTTGATCCAAAAGACTCCGGCAATTTCGTGGTCCTTTCAAATTCATTTGCAGCTGCTGGAAGGTAATCTTATTATTTTAAAATAATGGCAGAACAGCTGTTCTATTTTTATTCCTCAGAAAGTGTTTTTATATATAATTTGTGAACGCTCAAATGCAATCATGTATGAAGCAGACAGAAGGCTGTCTCTACTGAAGATTTCTTTCTTTTCTCATACGAAAATGCTTCAGGATAAGTGGCAAACTGTGTAGTTTTTCCCTAGCGAACATTTAAAATCCTATTAGCTTTTTGCCCACTTCGTGTTATATGTATTTCTGCTTGAGGTTATGACAGTGATATTGGAAGATGTTAACTTTCCCTGTATGTGATATCGGTGGGGCACAGTTATTTCATCAGAACAGATTTCTCGTTTGTGCTTCCTGCTAGTTTCACCATTTCTACACCCTAAAGGAACAGTTCAATATGTTTAATAAATGGCTCCGATTTTATCGAATAATGCAGATGGGAAGAAGCCTCCAGTGTGAGGAAGGAGATAAAAGACATAGGCCTGAAAAAAGGTACTGGGTGCAGCTGGATCACTGTGAAGAATGAAGTCCATATTTTCCAAGCGAAGGATACCTCTCATGAAAGGAACTCCGAGATTCACACGACTTTGTCGGAGTTAAAGAGGGACATGGAAGAGGCTGGCTACATAGCCGACCCGACTTACGCGCTGTATGATTTGGAAGAGGAGGAGAAAGTCTCAGAAGTGTGGCTGCACAGCGAGAAAATTGCCCTGGCCTTTGGCCTCATTTCTATTCCCCCAATCGTTCCGATCAGGATCACAAAGAACCTTAGAATGTGTGGAGACTGTCATGGCGCTTTCAAATTCATCTCGCGAATTACTGGGAGGGAAATCATTGTGAGAGACAATGCCCGGTTTCACCGGTTCCAGGATGGCCGCTGTTCTTGTAAAGATTTTTGGTAATCATCATTCTTTTTTAACGAGTCCTGCAACAAGTTTAATGAATATGATTATTTCTCAGCTACTCAGATTTCATAACACACAAATCTTCAACTAGCTTAGATCTACCTGTTTCTTGCCAACTTTTCTTCAAAGTGTGGTAAGCTATTAATATGTTTATACTTTTACTCTTGGGTTGCAACGAGCATGAGCTGATTTTTAGAACTGCGTAGTAGTATTAGTGGCACAGTTCCAATTTTATATGGACTGTAATTGGTTTGTCGGCTTAGGTCTAGCATATCTTCTCCTTTTGAGCTCCATCCTGAACTACTTTGTGTAGCCAAATAGGCAAATCACCAATCAATCCTTCAGATCGCTTGTTTGGGAAAGGCCAATGCTAGCGTCCCCGGATGACACTAACACCCGAATGCCACAACTGCTGGGGAATGTTCAATTCGACACGTAGTATTCGGTCCATCTGGTACTCGAAAGTTTGGGATTCACGACCTCGTCATTACAACTCCAAGGGCATACAAAAAGTTAGAAAGTCTTACTTACAGAAAATAACATATGCATACATATATATCGGGAAAAGTGTCAGAAAAATCCTAAATCATTTGCATTGATGCCAATTGAGTTATAAATCTTTTTTTGATGTCAATTGAGTCTTAAATCTTTTGTCTTTGTGCCAATTTAGTCCTTCCGGCTACTTTTGGCTAGATTTTACTGACGTGGATGCCGGTCAGCCAGTCATCGGCACTGACGTGAATAACTTTTAATAATATTTTAATATTTTTTTGAATTTTATTTATTTATTTTTCTTTTTATTTTTTTTTTCTTCCTGCCCTCCCTCCTTCCTCCAATCAATCGTCAGTCCGACGACCAGCCAGAGGCCAGAGGCCAGTGAGGTCAACCTCGCCCGCCTCTGGCAAGCCACGCCGGCCCACGAGCGAGGCTCGTCCTCGCCAGCGACGGCGAAGGCAAGCCTCGCCATGGCTGGGTTAGGCTCAAGCTTCGCCGGCGGCTGGGCGAGCCCCGATCTCACCAGATCTGGCGAGGGGTGGAGCCTTGCTAGCAGTTGGGTGAGGCACGACCTCGCTAGCCCAGCACGAGGTCGACTTCGCCGACCTTTGACCTCTGGCCGGTCGCTGGCAACCAGTTGGAGGAAGGAAGAGGGGAGGAAGAAAAAGAAAAGAAAGAAAGAAATAAATAAATATTCAAAAAATATTAAAATATTATTAAAATTTGTCCACGTCAGCGCCAGTGACCGGCTGTCGTTCACGTCAGCAAAATCTAACCAAAATTATCTGGAAGGACTGAGTTGGCATAAAGACAAAATGTTTAGGACTCGATTGGCACCTATGCAAAAAGTTTAAGACTTTTTTGACACTTTTCCCCATATATATCACTTACGAAACTGTCTGAACTTCTAATCTCATGAAAGATAGTCGACCTATTCACCATTGAAGTACCACGATCGATCTTATTCACAGACATGTTGAGAGCAGATCTGATCAAAAGCCGATGGCGGCTCCGGAGGTTGTTGAGGCACCCACGAGCTACATGGGCACAAAGCGCCGTTTAGTAAGGAAACCTGGCCCATCCTGCTAGAAGTTTTGCACATCATTCATTTAGATTCCGTTTATTTCACAAAAAATAAATGATTTTGAACAACATTATCCTAAAAATAATCACTTGTATCTCTTGTAGAAGTGAACAAATTGAAAAAAAATTCATTGTCCACAAAAATGTTTAAACATAAACTATTATCGATAATAAAATTAAATTTCATTCGAGTGATTATTTTTAAAAAAATATTTTCTTAATCATTCATTTCTTAAAAATAAATAAAGCCTTGGGATGGGTGACTCTGGACTGACCAGAGGCCCGGTCCGGGCCCGAAGTTGAAAGGAAGAATGCAATCAAAAGTTCACAAATAATATTATTGCACGTCGAGCCAAAATTTACGATTATTTGTGCCATTACCCCCAGCCAGTAAAGATCGACGGCCGGCACAAGAGAGAAATCAGACCCCAGGACAAAAAAGAAAAGAACAAGAAAGAACAAAGGCCAGAAGAGCTTCTGTCTCGGTGGCAAAAGCTTCTGTCTCTCTCTCTCTTTCTGATTCATTAGCCTCTCTCTCCTCACACTCCTCACAAGAACCAGAAGCGACAATGGCGGCGAAAGGCGCGTGCCTCAACCACGTCTCCCGAGAGTCCTCCGACATCCGGCGCTTAGCCGAGTTCTACAAAGAGGTCTCTCTCTCCCTCTCTTTCTCTCCACCCACCACCGATCGGGTTGCTCATTTCTTCTTCTGGGTCTTGAATGGGTTTCTTGATGGTTGCAGATTCTTGGGTTCGAGGAGGTGGAGAGCCCCAACTTCGAGTTCAAGGTGATATGGCTGAGCTTGCCCTCCACGGGCTTCTTCCTCCACCTCATCGAGCGGCTGCCGGAGGCCCGGCTCCCCGAGGGCCCGTACAGCGCCAGCTCCCCCACCGTCGACCCCAAGTACCTTCCCCGTGGCCACCACGTCTGCTTCACCGTCTCCAATTTCGATTCTTTCGTGCAGACTCTCAAGGTAGAAGAATCTTTTTTTTTTCTTGTTTGGTTGAGAGGATATCGCATTTGTCATGTGGGGATGTTTGATGAAACTGGAGTGATCGGGAGGTCTGGGCATTGTAGCCTGATCACTTCACGGGTGCTAGTACTACCAATAACGTGTAATTGGGTATGCTATTTCGTAGTAAAATGTGAGTTGGGCTTAATGGCTTTTGCATTCGGTGTCGGTTTCCACAGGGCTATACATGTCGTAGGAGATGTTTAATAGTCGGGGGAGATGATTCTTCTGTTCTTTTTATTCCTGATTTTCATGGTTTGCTTGGGAGGGTCAACTTCAATTTATGTCCTACTTCATCTCCCCGAGGTTGACAGGCCGTCCGAGGAAAGCGCGGCGTAGATGAGCAATTCAATTTGCTGACAATGAGAATATCGGGAGTTATGCTCAGATAGGCAGTGTTTTCATATGAAGTTTCATTAGATTCATATGTTTGATGAATAAAGTGCTTGCAATGCAATTTAGGAGGGCATCTTGACCATAAAATTTTTGACCGCATAAGCTTTGCTGTTTGCGTGTGGAATTCTTCCTGGATGGTTGTTGTGCTGCTCAATTTGTTTTCAAATCAATTCAACTGCGAAAATAATAGGGGAGTTTGAATTTTTTGATAGTTTGGTACAATCATCTTGGCAACATTACCGAGCGAATGTTGGTGATGTTCATGTTCGAGTTCAGTAGGTTCTTTAACGCACTCTTTTCATCGAAATTCATTTAGCGATCAATGGTTGTGCAGGAAAAAGGGATCGAAACTTTTCAGAGGGCTTTGCCAAATGGCAAGGTTAAGCAGATCTTCTTCTTTGATCCAGATGGTAAGCTCTTCTAGCTGTATTGTCCCACAGTGCCACTCAATTGACATCTCAGCTTCCTTCGCCAAACTGTTTTCTAATGGATGATAGAATCTTGTTAGTTTTGCGTTCCTGTTCTAGGAAAGAATTTCAATATATCTTCCCATGTGCAGGTAACGGCGTGGAGGTTGCGAGCAGGGTGGATCCTTGATTGGTGGTTGTTTGTCGACGCAGAGGAGGTCGAGATGTGGTGGTCAAGTATGTAAGAAACTATTACAAGACTTGTGAAATAGAATAAGTAGTACCCATGACCGATGATCATCCTGTGAACACAATTCTTACTTTCGTGATCCTGATTCGCAACACGATCTGAACCTTGATATTGGTATTGCTCTTTGATCACTTGTGGTTGTGCATCATCATGCTATTTCAGTGGGTCCAAAACGAAACCCATTCAATCCAATGAACAAGCATGACCCCCTTCTGGTGTGGATGTCATGTTTGCCAAAACATCAAGTGGGCTATAGCAGGCTTTGAGAATTGCTAGGTTCTTATATGGTTAAACTCTGTTTGGAAAGTTATGAAAAGTAAGAGGCACCTGGGATTTGAGGGGGTAGGGATGACTATATTTTCAGGAAGTGATTGGTCTGCCCGGAAAGAAAAGGGGTTAAACTCCAGTACTTCCACTTTCATTCATCGATTCACTTCTTCAGTTGAGATAGAAGCATCTCTATGTCTCAACAAGCTAGGAATTTGACTAAAGATCCATATTGAAATCTTGGAAGGGGTGATCAAGATCAAGAAGTAATTGAAATTTATACTTTAAGAATTTATTTGATTGATAAAACAAACGTAATTTCTTGATCACATATGATTTATAAAATATAGAAAAGGTGGGGAGAGAAAATTTGAGGAGAAAACTTTAAATTATCTCCCCTCTCTCTCCCCCTTTCAGAACAAAATAGCTTGTTTTTCATCCCAATTTTTGTCCCCTCCCCTTTCTGTAGCTGTCCAAAACATTTTTATAAGTGATGAAAATATTTTTCGCAAAACAAATAGAACCTTAGTATCAGCGATACCCATGCATCACAAGTCGGCTTTTCGAAAAGTGAGATGGGACGACCTTGGATGAAATATGATGGGATCGCAAATACCCAACTCCTCACGATAGCAAAGTTCAGTCGAATTTAGACTCCCAGTTTCATTCGATATTTGAGTGGAATTGACACTTACAATAGACAGATTTATACAGTCCCGTTGCAAAATGGTGCACCTTGATGCCTGAGTTATCGTTTGCATTCAACACCAACTTCTCCAATTTGTCCTGAAGTAAAATGTGAAAAAAGGAAAAGCCATATGGCTCTCCCGGAACATGCCACGTCCTCTAAAGTTCCACGTGTCAACACGTGTGGGCCGGCAAGCGACGTCAACAAGTCTCAAGCTGCCACGTCTGCCGAGGGCAGCCACGTATCGACCATTTCCTAGGGTCTCCGAACAATGGCCATGTCACCGAGCTCTCTAACCTTCATAAATGGCAAAACCTCGCACGTTCGTCCGTCGTTGAACACGCGTCACGGAGTTAGCAAGCACACGAACAAAGGAAATGAGCCAGGACCAGCCACAGAGGCCGGAGCAAGGCCAAGCCGGCCGTGAGCCCATCAAGTATGGCGACGTCTTCGACGTCTCCGGCGACCTCGCGCCGCAGGACGCAGCAATGATGCAGACAGCAGAGGCTGTGGTCTTCGGCCAGACCCAGAAGGGCGGCCCTGCTGCTGTCATGCTGCCTGCTGCCACCAGGAACAAGCGGGCCGCTCTGGTTGGCCGCTGCGACGTGATGGACATCGCCGTGGTCCAAGGTGTCACCGTCACCGAGACCGATATCCCCGGTCAGCGAATAATCACTGAATCAGTGGCAGGACAGGTTTCCTTTTTCCTATCTACTTCTGTATGGTGAAACAGATGGTTTCTAGGAAGGTACTACTACTCGTTCATTGAATTAGTTTATTAGGTAAGGGGGCAATTATGCCTAAGCACATTGTGTATCGTATATAAGATCGACGCGACGACGACAAGACGTTATAAAGCAATTTTATGAATCCGATTTTATATGCTATTGCATATTCAATTGCTAAAAACTTGCTATTCATTTGAACTTGAAGATGTCGTACTAGCGAGCACTGATGTCCATTTGTTCGTAGTTTTATTATGTGTGGCAACATTTCGCTAGTTGACTTTGATCACAACTCCCCGAAAGAACCACTTTGCCTACCGTAAAAGTGATGGAACCAACGATGCACCAGGATCATACATGAGTTGGTGCAAACTTGAACTCTTAATCAATTCTCACAGTTTCTGTCGTGATCAGGTTGTCGGACAATATGCTGAACCCACGCCAGTGCAACACGCAGCGCCTGCTGCTGCGGTGGAGCGGAGTGCAATCACCATCGGTGAAGCGCTCGAAGCGGCTACCCAGACGGTGGGAGACAAGCCGGTGGATCAGAGCGACGCGGCCGCGATTCAAGCAGCGGAGGTTAGGGCGACCGGCAGCAACGTCGTAAGTCCCGGGGGGACTAGCCGCGCTTCTGCTCAATCCGCGGTGGCTCACAACGGGGGGTGGACAGGGACGAGGACAAGATCAAATTGGGTGACGTCTTGACGGTATGTTATAGAGCTTTAGAAGAAAGAAATTGACGCGAGATAATTAGGCATGCGAGTGTTTAAATTAAGAGCAATTAAAGTGTAGGTACTTTACATTGTCGCCTTTACATTTGTTATTCACCGTGATTGGTGTTGAATTAGTCAAAGTATTTGTTTGTTTTTAAATAAAGCCTAGTTGGTTGTCCTAGTTTATAGGAATATGTTGCAGCATGTTTGTTGCTGCACATACGTTCGGGATAGTGGGTAGATAGTTCAGCATAGTGGGTCAATTGTTGTGGCTATTTTTATGGGTTTTTCTGTTGGTGTATTGTTGACACCTAAATTTCGGCGCATCATTTAGTGGTTAATTGCATAGAAAATTAGGGATTAAATTTTAATCCTTGAACAAAAATATTACAAATCGCATAGCATAAAGTTTAGGTTCATATAGATTAACTGCATTTCGTATCGGATCGGCGGTGGTAAGCGAGCTTAAAATTCATCACGTAAATCGAGCTCGGGCACCGAACGAGACTCGGCTCACTCGGAAAGCATGGGCCGAAAATCACACACAAAAGAGCTTGGTTGTCTTAATTTGAGCTTAAATTAGCCCATTATGCTTAATTAAAGAAAAGCCCAAATTAATTTAGCCCACTTAGAATTAAATTAAAGCCTAAACCTAAGCCCATTAGGACTAGAAAGCCCGGCTAATTGACCTAGGTTTACACTATAAATATATGTTTATGTCTCATAATCTGGGGGGCTCTCATAATTTTTCAAATCGGATTTTTAGAGAGACATACGAGAGAATTTTGAGAAGAGTGAGAGAGAGAGAGAAGGAGACCGCCCGCCGCGTAGCACTGCACGCCTGCCGCGCCACCGCCTGCCGCACTACGCCGGAGCTGCTTCGCCCCTTAGCCACTGCACGCCTGCCGCGCCACCGCCCGCTTGCGAAGCCTCCGTCCTCTCCCGCCGCGCGCTGCTGCCCCCGCAGTGTGCCACCGCCGCGCCTGCCGCCTCGCTACAGCTGCCGTCTCCCGCCGTGTGCCACTGCCGCGCACGCGCCGCACGCTGCCCGCGCCTCCCGCTGCGGCTGTCGTCTCCCGCCGTGTGCCACCGCCGCGCACGCCGCCGCTCCGCTGCCTGCCTCGCACACCACCGCCGCGCCGGTGCCACCGTCGCCTGGACGTCCCTGCTCCGCCCGCCTGTGTCGCCGCTGCTCGCTGCACAACCACCGGAGAGCTGCCCTGCACCGCCGCTCGCCCGTAGCCGCCTCGCACCGCCGTTAGCCCACCGCTCGTGCTGGCTGCATGCTCGTTGCACGCCGACGGAGAGTCTCCCGTCCTCGCCCTCGTTGGCCGCCGCCCGAGACGCCCGCCGCGCCGCCGTTCCCGTCGTGTCAACGTCGCTAGCCGCCACTGTTCCCGACGTCACGCTGCCGCTCCCGACGCACCGCCAATCCGCAATCCCGATCCGCTACAAATTCGAATTAGGAAAGAAATCTGCAAATCAGGTAATTATCATATCCCGATTTGATTCGAATATTTGGTTGCCTAATTTGTGCTTATTGATATCTAATTTTGCATATTTGGATAATAAGCATTATTTCAATTAGGATTTTATTTCCTTTTTTGAAATCTTGGATATCTATTACTTTTCAAATTTGGGTAGAATTTAGAATTTTCAAAATCTTTTGAATATATCCAAGATATTTAAGATATCTAATTTTTTTCAAGATGTGATCGATTAGGAAAATTTCCTAATCCGCAACCGCACACGTGGAAATAAATCTATCTATCAGGCTTTAGATAGAGTTATTTCCATAGCGGGTATTTCGAATTTTAGGATCGATCTGTCAGGCTTCATATCGAAACTTAATTCGAAAGATTTAGCGGTTATATTTTTTACTTGATTTTAGCTTCGAATTTTGATAAAAAAATGCCAAAAAGATTACTCTAGAATAGGTTAATTTCTTTAGTTTAAAATTGCATGTTTAGATAATTGGCATTTTTAATTCCGAATTTCATTAAAGAAAAAAATACAAAAAATAATATGCCCGTCATTAGAAATATGTCACGTCGTCGCATGACATATAGTTTGTATGTTAGGTTGCATTAATCGCATGTCAATTTTTTGCACGCCATTACATATAGGTTAGCTTTCCTTTAAATAAATAAAAAAAATCAAAAAAAGAAAATTTCTGCACCTTTGAACTCTAAGTCAGGATTTATCAAAATTGTCAAATTAAGTATTTTTCTTGAAATTGGTACCGAAAGGGCGTTAGGGAATCTAGCGTAACCAAGTCCCCGAATCCATAATTTCTGGTTCGCAGAAATAAAATAGTACTCCCGCTATTTTATTTAGGTTTCTAATCAACCTACCTTAAATGATTAGTGGCGACTCCCATTGAAAATATTTGCATGCTTATAATTGGACCTAAGTTGCGAATTGAAAGAGTTTGGGAGAACTCGAGCTAGGTTAGTTAATTTAATTGATCTAGTAATCCATTAGCCTAAAATCGGAAAACCCGATTTTTTTAGGTCGCGACATGTATGGCCTATCTAAAAGGCTAAGTTGTTATTCAATTATGATGTATGAATGCAGTAAGCATTTTTTCACGGGTGTACACTCTCTTCTCTCTGACTCTCTTTTCTGTGTTTTTTCTTTGTGCTTGCAAAGCACAGCCAGCTTCTGCACTTTTTCCGTAACAATTGGAGCATCTCTCTTCTCCATCACGCAAGCAACGTCGATCACAGGGTTGCAACATTTGAGGATTTGATCCTACATATTGTTCTTGTTATGCGACGCGCACTGAACTTAATAGTAATTCGCATTTGGAATAATCCATGTTACAAACGAATTTTTGTGTTTGCCCTCGTAGGGCGCGACGGAAAAGTTGCCGGCTAACAAGGTGGCGACGAGGCAAGATGCCGAAGGGGTGGCGAGCGCGGAGCTGAGGAACAACCCCGACCTCGCGACCCAGCCAGGTGGTGTGGCGGCCTCGGTCGCCGCCGCCGCTCGACTCAACAAAGCTGTCAACCCTTAGAGACAAAAAGAGTTTGGAGAGGAGGAAGCTTTGCGACTTTGATGAGATGGGTTTTCTGGGTTTCGTTTTCTCTTGGGCGTTTCTGCTTCTTCCTTTGGGAAGTGAAACAGCTCGATGTAAAGTGTCGAATGTCAACATCCGTCCGTTGCTGGGATGGTGTTCTTTGAACTTTTTACTTCCTCTGTTGTCTTGTTTCAATTATATTGTCTTTGGTATCAATCTGCGAGTATTCCTTCATACTTGTTCTAAATTTTGAGATTGCACGGTAGCCTTAAAGAAATGGTTAATACCACGAAAAATCTCAAACTGGTACATTTATGATAAATTTGCTCTAAATTAATTTTTTGACCACAAAAAATCCAAAATTTGTACACCTTTGATAATTTTTTCCTTCGTTAGTTTCAATTAAATTTTACCGTCAAATTTCTGAGTTGGATGATACGTGACAGTTGACTGGTATACCGGTTTTGGATTTTACCCTCCGTTTGTCGTGGGTGTACTAGTTTGTGATTTTTCGTGGCATTAATTCAATTTAATAGAGGGTAAATTTGTCACAAATGTAACAATTTGGGGTTTTTAGTGGTCAAAAAATTAATTTGGGATAAATTTGTCACATGCGTACCAGTTTGGAGTTTTTCGTGGTGAAAAAATTAATTTGGAGTAAATTTGTCATATACGTACCAGTTTGAGGTTTTTCGTGATATTAATCCTTAAAGAAATTTAGCTTGTTGTCCTAAGGAGAGGGATTCATTAAGAGAGAGGCATGGTTATCAAATTTCCACTTGTTTTGCTTAGAAACTCCTTACCACTTTTTTTTAGAGATTATCAACCTAAATCGACTTAACTCATTAACTTTTCTCTCGTGAAGTAACCAGTTAGTATAGGGTTACCAACCTTCATTCGGATTACTTATCGACACTTTTTTAGGTCTGCGTTTTAATTTGCCAACTTTTTTTTTGCATTTACAAATTTTTTATTTTCATTACTTAGCAGCATGTTAAATCTATGAACTATTTTTAGGAGATTACAAATCCAATGCGACTTACCAACTTTTCTTTTATTAAGTTATTTACTAGTTTTTTGGTTACCAACTCTCATTTGAGTTGCTAACTAAATGATCACTCTAATTGAGACTGGTGAGTTCTAAAAAGAATCGATAAATTTAAAAAGGCAAGTAAGCAAGAAAACGGTAGTGACTCAATAGGAATTTAGCAAATTTAAGGAAAGACAAATAAATGTTGGTAAGCAATTGAAATCTAATTGGTGACTCAAAAATAGTTAGTAATTTAAATATTGTTGATATTATATAATAATTGTTAAATTAAATCATTGGCAAGAAAAGTCGATATTTGTCAATTTAATGCGTGGGCGAAAAAGAAGACAATGAAAGTTAGTAAAAGATACGAAAAGTCGATATTTGTAAACTGGGGTGACTTCCCTAAAAAATCCTCAATTTTAGGTCAAGTATCAAATCTGCCATGATCTTTTTTTTTGTCTCGGAAAAAACCCTAAACTTTAGGTCCAGTCCCAAATTTGCCTCGAACATTTTTTTTTCTTAGAAAAAACCCCAAACTTTAAGTTCAGTCCTAAATCTGCCTTGAATTTTGTTTTGTGTAAAAAGAAGAAGCAAATTTCAATTTATTTTCAAAAATATACTCAGGTGATCCAATTCCAACTTGACGTGGCACGTCCATGTCGATAACAAATCCACATTAGCAAAGTAATGGGACGATAGGTAGAGACCGACGTTGCATTTCCACTTCGATAACAAATCCAACCCAATAAAAATTGTTGAAATTCTCCAAAATAAAACCGTTCTAGGATATGAAAGTTAGGGGAAAATTCCAATTAAGGACCCCAAGTGGGGTCTTTTTCTAAAAAAAAGACCCCAAGTGGACATAGTGTCAAATAAGGGCCCGAAGTGCCCAATCAGTCTCAAATAAGGACCCGAAGTGCCCAATTAGTCTCAAGTAAGGGCCTGGGTTCGCCGGCCGGTCAAATGCTCGCCAGCCGGCGAGCACGGTTACTGTTCCAGCCATCGGAAAAGGGCAGTTTCGTCTTTTTCTATTTTTTTTCCTTTTCCTTTTCCTTTTTCTGTTTTTTTTTCTTCTCTTCCCTCCGCCGGCCATAGCCGGGACCGGCGGAGGCCGCCCTTGCCGGCGTCAGGTGAGGGTGGCCCTCGCCTGGGCTGGGCAGGTGAGGGTCGCCCTCGCCCGCCCAGCCCAGTCGAGGGCCGCCCTCGCCGGCGTCGGCTGAGGGCGAAGGTTGCCCTCGCCGGATCTGGCAAGGGTCGACCTCACTCGCCCGACGTCGATGAGGGTTGCCCTCGCCCAACGCCGACAAGGGCGGCCCTCAACTGGGCTGGGTGGGCGAGGGCGACCCTCGCCCGCCTAGCCCAGGCGAGGGCCGCCCTCACCCGATGTCAGCGAGGGCGGCCTCCGCTTGAGGCCGGCGACCTCCGCCGGCCCCCGCTATGGCCGGCGGAGGAAGAGAAGAAAAAAAACAGAAAAGGAAAAGGAAAAGGAAAAAAAACACATAAAAAGGAAAAAAAGAAAAAGACAAAACTACCCTTTTTCGGTCGCCGGAACAGTAACCGTGCTCGCCGGCCTGCGAGCATTTGACCGGCCCGCGAACCCAGGCCCTTACTTGAGACTAATTGGGCACTTCAGGTTCTTATTTAAGACTGATTGGGCACTTCAGGCCCTTATTTGACACTATATCCACTTAGGGTCATTAATTGGAATTTTCCCGAAAGTTAGGGACGATAACAAATCCACCCCAAAAAACTTTCTTTAATTTAAAAAGAACTCAATTTTTAGATTCAGTCCAAATTTGCCCTGAACTTTTCTTTGTCTAAAAAAAAAAGCCCAATTACTTTATTGATGTGGATTTGTTATCGACATAGAAGTGCCACGTCAAGTTAAAACTGGATCACGGGGGTATATTTTTTAAAATAAATTGAATTTTGGTGATTTTTTTTTACGCAAAATAAAATTTGGGGCAGATTTGAGATTAGACTTAAAGTTGGGTTTTTTCTAAGACAAAAAAAAGTTTGGGGCAAATTTGGGACTGGACTTAAAGTTTAGGATTTTTTTTTAGACAAAAAACATTCGATACAGATTTGGGAGTTGACCTAAAGTTTGGGGTTTTTTTTAGGAAATTAGGCCTTGTAAACTGTCATAAAGAATTAATAATTTCATAAAAGTGTCAGTAAATTACCAAAGAAGTTACAAGTAAATTTGGCGAAACAGTTTTTTTTTATACTCCCGAACTCTTTTAAAAATATATGAACAAGGAAAAAAAACTCCTTTTTTTCGAAAATGAAACAGTCAAGGCTCCAATCACGATACAATTTTCGACTCTGTTTTGCTCAAGCAAGGCTGTTGAGATCTTCGATTTGAGTTGGTCCTCCGATGAATTACTGCAGAAGATGTTTTCGTAACCAGACATTTAGCTGCGCTGCAACCGTGTACTGCGTGCAGTAATTCCGAATGTTCATGTCGCAGCTCTCAATTATCTCCTCGGCGTCGAGATGCATTACCGTATAGAGTTCTGTCGCAAGTGACGGAAGCGTACCATCTCCACTGCGCCGGCGCACGTGAAGCAAAATCTTGGTACGAGAAAAAATTATTCGCACAGTGCACAGTTCTGTCTTTCATGAATGTGGTCATGTGTCACATGAAAATGACCTGTGCGAAGGGGCTCTTCTTCTTCCAGGAGTCTGTTTGGCGTGCGAAATATGATTCTACTCCCTTTTGTGGTTATGGAGATAATGAATTGCTTCAAGTGTTCAGATTACTCTTATCTATTCAAAATTTATCAAAACTGAAGGACGCATTCGAGATAAACATCGGCGGAGGAGAGCAACAACCGCGAAGCATCATCTGAAGTGTTTTTCCTCTTTATAATCAGAAGTGTGAGAAGTGTCAGTCAACTTCGGCCAACCCTCAACCGTTATCATACGAGTTTCGCGCCGCCAATGAAACGTCCGGTTGGATTCGATCATAAATGTTCGTTTGAGTGAGCCCTCGCTGCCGCCACATTTGTTTGTGGGAGTACGGCTGGGGTAAATCCTACGCCGTTGCACGACCGAACCTACATCATAGACAATAAGCCTAGACTTCCTGAGATCGATGAGCATTTAGGAGGTTTCGAACCTGTGAGGCTATGACCAAAGCATTCTCAACTTGCCTCTTGGAAATTGACTCTTTGTTTCTTCTGCTAAGGTTGGATGGGAGATGGTGGGAGTGAGCATAGAGGAGACCATTCGTACAAATGATGACAGGCTATGCGTGCGTGAAATGACCTTTGTTAAAATCATCTAACCTATAACACTTTCATTAAGATTTGAACATGATGTGACTGCTTCTCTGAGCCACATTCAATGCCAATCGTCGGTTCATCACTCCACAAGCTCTTTGGATTTGAATAACTTTTACCAGCATCGGCTGACTTACATTAGTTTTCTCTGGAGGACCATTTTTTTTTCACTCATTTGATTTATTACCCTAATCATCTAATCCAGTGCAATCCGCTAGGTTTATCATGATAATCACGGTTCAGAAGGATCTGAAACTCGAATCATGCAACGATTTTTATTTCCTCTTTTACCAGAGCTGCATCGACCATTGTTTTTCCCGAAATATTATGTGCTTTTGAGGAAAGAAAAGATTATAACAGTAGATTTTGATAATCGGTCAAATTTTCGAACCATAACTACTCAATTAATTATGATGTATCGACAGGCGTTCTTGGCTCATATAGGGCTTTTTGAAAGTGCGAACAAATGATGGCCACTACGATGTGACCTGAAGGGGAGTGCAAGGACATATGCTGACTCGGGCTTCTCTCTCTTTGAAAGGCAATAATTCAGTGGGAAGCATAAGCTTCTAAACTGTAGGAACCTCGGTACTACTTCCCCTTGCCTTGCTGTGCGCCTATCTTTGACTCTCAGTCTGATTTTCGCTTAGAGATCTCGTGGCTCGCTCGTGCTCTTTTGCGACCTGTGTCGTCAGGGAAAGTATCTGGATCGTAAGATTCACAAGCAAGAAGAGACTAGCCATTAGGATGTGTTAGCTGTGTCAGAGTGCAAAGCATAATCCTTCATTGGATAGTTAGACTTAAGTAGAGCGGTTTGGCTACGTTTAAATGGTCCGATGATTGAATTCTACAAGCAAAATCATGCGCAACTAAGCTCGTAATTCAGGCTCTCTCCTGCGATCACGAATAGCGTGGTATCGGACTCCAATGTTAATTTTTCAACAGGGGGTTAACTTTGATCAAAGGGGAAGGTGACCCATGTGGCATGATCTTCCGTTATACTGTATTTTGATTGTGATTCTTAAAACAAACTCGTCCGACTCAAGAATCTTGACAAATGATAAGCAATCATGGACATTAAACCTAAATTTAGTGCATTGATGATATACAGTGGCTTCCTTATAAACGATAAATAACCTGACCCGGAGTTACCATTAGCTTTTGTGGTATGCACCATGTACACATAAATTGTTCCGTTTTGGGTCCATTTGAGGAGTCATATTCATGAGTGATTGATTGATGTGCCCGTGTAAAGAAATTGTGGCCTCTTTTGGGCACGTGAAGTGATGGGGCATTCTAGTGTGTGTGCTCTTGTTGTTTACTGCATTTTAGCATCCACCCCGCCCAAAAGTAAAAGCCTCTTCGGGAAGAAGGTACACATCGCCTTGGTTTGATGATTCTGAAACCCTAGCTTTTCAGTCGAGTGACAAAAGGGGGAGCATCTTATTGATCCCCCACCGATTCATGTTGGAGCAGAACCTCTTTAGGAGATCAGAATCGATCCAGAGTCAAACTGAGTTCACGACATTGAAATATCTCGGACGATCATTGACAATTTATATGTTCAAGATCCCCCCTCTTGTCTCCGGCGTTGTGCGGGAGTGGGAGGACGGGGTGACTTGCATGTATCGAGAGATCTTGCTAGCTCTCGATCTTGTGCAAATGTAGGTTTCATCTAGGGAAAAGAAATCGGATTCTTGAGAGGAATTTCAATTGCATAATCGAGTTCTTCGCAGCGCACGATTGTAAATGGGTCTTGAGAAATCAACACGATGTTGATATAGAATTGTTCTTGCCGATATGTCCTCCCAGGATAAGTTCCGAAAATCTATTTCTTCTTGTTCGATTATTTCACCAATGATTGATGCATAAAATAGGATTAATTAACAAATTGCCACCAATAACGTGTTTCTCAAAATAAAAATAAAAAAAATACTAAGAGACCCATAGGCTTCTTCTCAATACATTTCTTTTTCCTATATTTAACTTCTTTTGGAGTTGACCATAGCAAGGTTAGTGCATGCATTTATTCCTGGTGGTTTGCTTCGCCAATTTTTTTTTTTTTACTCTTATGCCTATCAAATTACTCTGAAAAAAATAGTAAGAAAAATAACGGGCGGCTACCTAGCTACGAAACTACTGAATCAATAATCGAAGGGAGTCAAATTCTATAACAATTAGTGAATAAAATAAACAAAATAAAATAAGATGAAATAGCAAAAAGTATCCCTCTTGACCTTATAACCAGGATCGTGGTCCGCCGGGTGCAAAAAAAGTGAGATTTAAAGAGGGCCATTCGATGCTTCTTCTGCTTGGTCACTATGTGTTGTCACCATTCGCTTGCTCTCTTTTCATTTGTCTTGATATCGATTTTCATATCGACATTAGGTAGATTTCTCACTACTCCTTTCCTTAATATAATCACCTCAATCCGTAGTTGCTGGTCGGCTCAGGACGGAATTTGACATTATGGGTCACGACATTTTATCAATCTTTCTTCAATTTTGACTTAGTTTTTTTGATAACTCAAAAAAGTTTGCCTAGCATTTATGCGGGTCTATGCGATTAGCTCAAGATATGCTTTAGGGTTCAAGTGTTGTTGTCGAATCTTTGTACTCAAATTGGCTAGAGGAAGTTGGGAATTTGCAAAATTAAGGGAGTTGAAGCTTCGTAGTCACCGCATAATGCTTTCTTAGTGGCTGCCCCCTTATGACATGCTATGACAAAAGAACAAGCACAGTGCCACACACACACACACACACATTATTTTTTTTTCTAATCATAGATTGTACAAGACAACATTGGAGTCCAAAAAAATAATCGAGACCCATAAAAATATTACCTTAAAAGGGAGCATTGCCCAATGTCCCTACCCTCCCTTGCATAAAAGAAACACCCCCCATTCACAAGCTCTCTTCCCAAACCCAAACCATACACTTTCCTTCTCCTCCACACATAACATACCAAACACAAACACACACATTTACTTTCACTCCCTGCTAGCCCTTCTTTCCTCCTCATCAGTGCTCCAAATACACAACGCTCACACAACACGTACGCGGAGTAAATGAGCCCATCCAGTCCATTGTCCTTCCCTTCCTTCATTCCTTAGTAACCCCCATTAATACCCTGCAGAAACCCTTTGAGCCTCTCTTCCTCTCTCTCTCTCTCTGAAGTGAGAAAAATGTCCTACATCTTGTGGAAGAACATCCACCGTTGCTTCCCTGGGTTCAAGTGCCTCCCTCCTCTTCCTTCACCACCATTACCCTCGAAGCATCAAGAGCATGATGACCATCACAACCACGACTCGTCATCCTCGTCGCCCGTTTCCACTAGCACCGCCACGCCAACTTCGGTCCTGGCCAAGAACTTCAACTCCATCTACGACCTCACCTCGGATCAGTCTACCACCTCCCACTCCAACTCCAAGTCCTTCACGCCCTCCACCGTCACCGACGACCTCCTCTCGTCCTCGGACGACTCCGACGCCGCCCACTCGCCGCCCGACTTCGCCGCCGTCTACGCCTCGCAGCGCTTCTTCTTCTCCTCCCCCGGCTGCTCCAACTCGATCATCGAGTCCGCCGCGGCCGCCGCGACTGCCGCCGCTTCCGAGGCCGAGGCCAAGGCCGAAACCCTAGCAGGGGCCGGCGGGGTCGCGGTGCACAAGTACTCACCCGACCCGTATTTGGACTTTAGGAGATCAATGCAAGAGATGGTTGAGGCGAGGGATTTGAAGGATGTGAGGGGTGATTGGGAATACTTGCATGAGTTGCTCTTGTGTTACCTCAGGCTCAACCCTAAGCACACCCACAAGTTCATCATTAATGCTTTCACCGACCTCATCATCGGCTTGATGGCCCGGCCGGAGGCCGATAAGAGCTCAAAAGCAGGGCGGCGGCGTAGGCAGCGCGGTGGTTCGATGGGGTAAACAACACTTACAATGCCGACATTATTAAGGAAAACAAAGAAATTGAGAAAAGGGTAAACTTTGGGTAGTTCTGTTTTTTGGATGGTTTCTTTCATGGATTGATCTTGTCTGTTGTGTAAAGCGATGCCCCATCCATGAAGACAAAAGAGCAAATTACTTGGAATTTAGCAGTCCAAGGAAGCGTGGGATGTTAATGTCTCGATGCATGTTTTATTATCTCTCCAATTTTCCTATGTTATCTGCCCTATGTTTATATGTAAAATCTTAAATGTGTTGGAAAGACAAAACTGTAATATCTCTCATTGTGTCCGGCCAAAAGACAAAATCATCGTGTTGTTATTCTTATGGGCTAATTGCAATCTTCTTGTTATTTTAATTTTTTTCCTGGGTCTTAGGAATAGTACGTTGGTTTGTCGTTTTATGATGTTTTTGTATGTGGTTCTGGACTTCTCAGCAACTTATCAAGTGACCATACATAATAAACATGTTGGGGAAGTCTTGTGCGAACAATCACGACACTTCACGCATACCATTACTTGGGGTTTTTTTTGGTGTAGTGGGACATTGGAATCCTTACTTGAAAACGGGAACATTATCGTTCTCCATTGGGTATACTACATACAATATATGGGATTGCTATACTTGTAATTAGCACGGAGATTGGTTCAACATGAGTTCATATTTCGGATTTAGATGCTAATTTCGATAAAAAGACGACAATTTACGTGACTCGCTCTAGCCCGAGTTCAAGGCCATCTGATGTTTTCGTGCGATTGTAGCGTGCCGAAGCAACAAAACTCAAATTGGCAACTTGTGATCTAGGGAGAATTTCGACAAACATGAGATACGCAGGTAGCTTATTCTAACCTCCCGAACCACATGGTATAGAAGTGGGACACCTAGAAGTTGGCCAACCTAATGTAAATGATATCGGAATGGTCAAAACTGATTTCTTGGTGCCTTGTTAACTTTCTATTTCTTTTATCTAGTTCTTGTTTGTTTTACTTGCTCACAGTATAGCAGCAAAATCTCTACAATATATAACTTCCACGGAACATATATAATGTGGAAGTTTGCGTTGAAAATTATGATGAAGGTGGGCTTAAACTAATCGTACAATATTTTAGTTTGTCAAAAACTGGCTGTTATGAAATAAATAACATACACAAGACAATTCATATAGCCCGAATATGGCTGTGTGATCATATTATATTGGTTTAGCAAAATGTGGTTGGACAGTTAGTGTTGGCCACTGTTTTGACACCGATTACCATTGATGGATAGACTTGTCAGAATTTATATTATAAATAGACTATGGTCACTTCAAATGCAATTATAATTTATTATATCAAATTTGTTACAGAAAATGTTTCTATTATATACAAAATCCTTATTTCTAGCTAAAGAGACTAATTTGGCAAGTCCATTCAGTCCACGAGATTTTTTAGACAAAAAAGGCAGAAGGGTCGCTTTTGCTTTTCTCTTTCTTTCCTTTTTCTCTGAAGAAACTGACAAATTTGGGAGACAAACAAAGAGGATCCTAGCAAATTTTGACATTTAATAAGTAGGGTTAAAGAATTGACGAATAATTTTTTTTTGGTTTGTTTGTTTTTTTTCGCATTAGAATCCGAGCAAATTGGTCACACGGTGTTTGCTTAGGGTTAGGTTAACACCAGACCATTTGTCGGCATTTCATGTGTGTGCCTTCATTATTATATCATTTCCATGCTTTTGCTAAAGTGTTCTGGTTATGACATTTGGTTTGTCCTCGGGAGCCGTAGTTCCAATGCAACAATTTGGTTCATGGTGTCGTCTAGATTAAAAGAGCTCTATCGACTTTGATTTCTATGTCAGTTTGGGCATGATTTGTCTTAGCATAGTTTAAAATAACAAAAATGATATCCAAAATAAGGATACCATACTAAAAGTCCTCCTTTGGATTCCTACTTAACTCTCGAACATTTTAAAAATTAATCATCGGCTATTTCGTTTGCATGATTCGAACAACGAAAAAAGGTATTTTAGGTAACTATTCACCAATATCACTGATCAAAAAAGAAAATTTCAAAGTCAAAAAACAAAAAAAAAAGGTTGATTTTCTCCACATGACATTCGAATGCTAATTTGTTGAAATGCGATTGACTTGTAGCGCTGTGTAAGCAGCGCCATTGTTACATAAAAGGCTTACTCATGTTAGTGGGTTTTGCAATGCGTACTCTAAGGTATGATTCTTGATGGAAGTTAAACTAGCACAGGAAAGCAAATAAACCTAATTAAAGTTGATAGAAATGTGCTAAGTTTATGGCCCGCTTGCCCAAAGCTAGCTAGGGGGACGGGGAGAAGAAGCAAGAGAGGCCAAATGCAGAAGCTGGACAGAAAGATATAAGCAAATGAAACCAAATGAGATTCCGTGCTTAAGAAAACTATTCACGGGGGCGTTAATATATGGAGACATTGGACTATTGGGATATTTAAAAGCAATTAGAGATTTGGCTATGAAGATCTAATGGAAGAGTGGCCTCCTCCAGATGATAACGTATATAATGAACAAGATTTATCTACACATGGGGGACAGATTTATTATATGTGAAAGATATAATGAATTGAGGATGTATATCACAATTATTATAATAGACCCATCAAACGAGTGGTTCGGTTCAGGTAAAAAATAAATCAGCCCAAATTGACCAATTTAACCAATTTCCATGCAAGATAATTTTAGTGACCACTATCCGACCCGATCCATATTACTAGAACACTTTAATATTTAACCAAATATAGAAAAAATTATACCCAAATTGATGTGAAAGCACGGAGTGAGCAAGTGTGAGATCAAGTGAGGGCATGAGAGAGTGAAGAAAGAAACATAGAGGTAGGTTTGGTCTAAGTATGTTGTGAACCCATTTAAAATCCATTACCATTATAAACCTATTCATTGAATATAACTAACTCATATAATAATTAAACTCATTACATATGATTTAAGAAATTGGATTTATGACCCAATTTGACATGTTTAATTGTAAGAGAACTTTTGCTGATGATAACTAGAATCATCTTTTGGGTGGTGCATCGTGACTTTTGCACAAGATAGATCTCGAAAGAAACAATATCTAGAAGTGGGTCCAAAGCTCGTGGAAATTAGTATACAAGATGTATAAGATATGGAGCCATAATCTTTTAGACAATGACTTAGGATTTCAGTTGAGGGGCCGCTTTTCATTGTCAGACGATGGATTCTTCCTTGTCTTGCTCCGTAGATCATGTTTTCCATAAAGCGGTTAGGACTATATGAGTGAGAAAAACTATAACTAATACGTTCGGGTCGTTGTCAGGGGCACACCTAACGGGAAAACCTTACCCTTGGTTTCTTGCTGGAGTAGGCGTTTAAGCATGTGGATTACAAGGAAGAGACAACCAGAGCAAGGTTGGCAGTAACTTGATAGTCTATATGCGAGTTGAGTCATTCATTGAGGATAACGAAATCAAATCGAGACTCACGAAGTCCAAATTTGAAAGTCGAGCAAAGATGTTGTGTTTATAAGCTCATGTTTATGTGATCTGGAACGATTCACATGCAATATGTAGAGAGCACGATTGAATATTTACTGGGTGTGGTCGGATTGGAAATCCTCGTTAGTACAAACACGACATCAACGGTCGATTAAGTCTCTATAAACACCCATCCAAATAGATTGCTCCCGAGATGAACAATGGTCGTTTTAGATTTCAATTCAAAACACCCCATGTACGATCTATCCCGGAGATCACCCTCTCGAGAGCTTGGACACGCATGCTTTAGTAGAGACTGGAGATTCTTAAATTTGATGAGACTAGTCGGGTGTTGAAGAACTTTCAAATGCCTCCCCTCCAGAGAGAAGAAAGCCTGTGCGCACACTGATGAAGATCTTGAAATTTGCTTTCATCATGTGGATATTATTGGAGATCATCCATGATTGGGTCAAAGTTCAGATTCGTCACATCAGAGGCTGATCTGATGATGTTGGTGATAGCGACATACCTGACAAGCTCGACACTGTTCATCATCAGATGGAAGAAACAGTCTCACTTTCATCGGGTTTCTTCTCTCCTTGGGAATGGCTAACTTGTCTACGGTGGGGAACGCTCAGAGCAGACCGATTACTTTAAACTCTCACTGTTCGCAGGCATGACGACAAAAAGATCGCAAGAAGCATGCCGAATTTATATTCCCTTCTGTGCGTTTTCCACATGACCCACATAAAAAAAAAAAAAAAACAAAGAGAGACAGATTAACGTGCATGGGTTGTTGTTAACGATGGATGGACACAGATGACATGAAAACCAATGCCAACATCCTTCTCGGGTGAACGTTTTAAGAATCATGTCCATATCATAAGGTTGCCTTTTTCACTGCTTTTGTATCTTTATTGGGAAACGGTGGTTACTGTCGTCCTACATCATTAGTTTAGATTAGATGTTTTGGCAGCAACTTATGAGCTAAAGGGTAATTTCATGATGTCAAGAACATTGCTGGGTTTATCATATTTAACACCATGGGAGGGGATAAAAGGTGAGATTGTTCAAGGGGTTAATCGCATTACGAAGCATCAAGTTGTTCTTTTTTCTCCGGAATAATGCCTCCTGCAAATGTAGTCTCAAAACCCTGTTACGGGTTTGGAAAAATAATGTTTCATGATTATGTTCCGCGGGATATTCCAAGAAAGCAAAGGAAACTTGGTTTTTTGCTTAATCTTCTCTAAAAGATAAATCGAAGGTATGAAAAAGAGCCTAATTTTAAGCCCTTCTACGATTATTGAGAGACCGATCACTTGCTATACCCATTGTACTTAAGTTCATTTTCTCAATAAAGTACCGTACAATAATATTTTGTACAAAAAGTTATAGCATGATGGATTTGGGTACGACAAGGTATGAGTGGTCTAACTCGTTCCAACAGTAGAGTAACAAGAAAATCAAGAAGCAAAATGCGACATAATTGCATAATGACTACAACCATGCCCTCTCCTTTATTTCTTGTACTTTGAAATTCCACTTGCACTCTCAGTTTTTGAACATTTCTTGTCCCCAAGTGATGTTTCCCAACAGCCTAACGAGAAGAAGACAAAAGGGAGTTATAGCTTTGTCACGCCATGACTCAGAGAGCTGTGGGAAACCAGCAGGTGATGAAAACCCATTGGTGAGTCCAATTCGCGCAGCTTGTTTGGTATACCAGACATTAATGGAAGGAATACGTCAAACTGAAAGTTCAATAATTCGACTGTACAAACTGAAAAGTAACATCATTAGGGCCCCTGCTGCTGTCATGGTTTCTTCGCTTTTGTTTCTCTGTCACAAGCAACTCAAGTACAACTCCAAGTTAAACATGGCATTCCGCGTCTGAGCCAGGTGACAGATCAAGTTGAGCTAAGGGAAGACCGACGAACCAGCGCTTGAAAGAGAGATGAGGGTTTAGATGAAACCCTCAATGCCATCAAAGACAAAAGCTGCCTACAGAAAACTATGTATCAAGATCTTTGCCTCCATATCGTATTTCCAGACATCCTTTTTGTCAGATTTATGTCTCGAGCTTGAGTGGAACCCGAGTTTGAGCAGAACCCGACTCGATTGAAAGATATGAATTGGTTTATTGGATTTGTTAGGAAATAAATCCAACAATTCTAATTGGATTAGAATTAAAAAATAAATTGTTTTTGTTGAAGATAACATATACACAACAAGGGCACAAATATTCGACGGGGGGAGGCAAAAATAAAAGGAAATAATTATCTAAAATTCGGTCAATGCACTGGTTTCTTGTTAATTATCCAACTTTGAAAGAATTGGACTAGGTCTCCCCGTTGAGTAAATATTGACACTTGGACCAAAACAAGTAAATCTCTTGTGTCCTTTATAGTTCCTCATTTCTCCGGTGATTTCACGTTGATTTAATTGCAAGATCCGTTAACATTTCAGCATTAATTTTACAACGCTTTCTGTAGACAAACTTAACCAGTTCTATCTCCCTTTTCGGTGATAAACTATGAGCTACACTTGTGTTACAACAGAGTACGTTGTTAAAAAAATGGAGCTTATGCATTTACTTCACAAAGAACCGATAATGGAAGACAAACTCTTCATTAGACCCCACGAAGCTCCACATACCCATCTGGGTGCCAAATCTAGTCATTCTGATAATGTGATTGATTGCAATAAGGAATAGATAAACATGAATAAATCATATTAAACAGGACTCATTGCTGATGAGAACTAGCTAGCATTAGCCATGCCTGCCACAAAATCAAAGTTTCACGACTGCCTAATCTTTCTACTTTTTTAAAATTCCTTCCCAAGTTCCTTCTTTTTCTGAAGGCCCAAGTCTACATCATTCGACAGTAAATCTTATAAGTTTGACAATATGACAAATGTTTAGGATTGAAACACTTTCATATGAGAGAATTCAATGGTCCATTCCAATTTTGCACCATCATATGAAAGCTAATGCCTCAATGAATAAACTGCGAAAAAGGAAAAGCGCAAGAACTTTTAAAGGCACTTTATTTGGGATATGCAGGAAAAGCCAGCTAAGAAATGCAATCTTTTGACATTGCCTCCGCAATCTGCACAATGAAGGCTGATCCTTCAACATGAGCGCTAACCCTTAATCAGGGCTTCGCTTTTAAAAACCCAGCTGAAGAAGTAGAAAACAATTTCAAATCTGCTTCAAGCACACACATCACAGTTTTTGGTTGTAAAAGCTTGCATAAAATTATCTGAGTGAGTCATCATGCTTGTGAAATAAAATAAAAAGAGGAGAACATTACCAATGTTCTAACCTTTGGCGTGCCCACTCAAAGCACAGCACACAATCAGATCACCACGGTATCAACTTCCAAAAGACAGTAAAAGAAACGAAAAAGTTCAAGCTTGTATAAAGGGAGGAAGTATAACTCACATGCAATTCTAAACAACATGATTGAAAAAGGTAAGACATTATCCTGCTTTTCAACTAGCAGGGCCCACAAGTACACCTTGAGAAGAACCTTCCTTCCGGCCGCCATCATCCTTCACCTCACCATCGGACTTCCGTATCCTGATCTTGTATTTGGCCTCGAGATCAGCAATTTCCTTCTTCTTCTTTTCGAGGGCCTCATTCAACCTTGTGATTACCTCCTCAAGTCCCTCTTTGTTGCGCTGAACAGCAGGCAGAACCTCTTTGACGGTTCTCTCGACCAGCACACCTCCGATCATTCGGTAACACCGTCTTGAAGGGTCGAGTGGCTGGATAGCACTCATGACCAAAGAATGCTCACTCACCTCCATCTCTAGCTCTGTGATCTTTGAGTAGATTTGGTTAAGTTCATTCCTTAAGGAACCATATATAGTGGCAACTGCTTGCTCATTTGCCGGTTCACCTTCCAGTCTAGTGGCCATATTTCGCTGCAACAGAAGAATCAGGAGTATTGTGGTAAGAGGCCATATAATGAAACTGTTCAGGTCTGATTAATCAATTTTAGAGGTGTAAAAGAATATAGATAATGAAAAAGCAAACAGTTACGGTGCTTTAGACTATTCATGTGGAAGAGGCGAGTGGAACAATAGCACACGAAAAGAGCCAAGTAAATAGTCTAACCTCAGTTATTAGACGAAAATTCACCAAATACAATCAGAAATTTACAATCATTAAATCAAGGAAAGTTCAAACCAAATGATGAAGCTCTTCAAAATCAAAGCTTACTATGCTTCTAACATGCAACCATAAAATCTCTGTTTCAGATTTTCTGTTTGGGATAAATAACACATGCTAAAATTTGAACCACTAAACCAATCAGAAATATACAAACATTAAACCAAGTAAAGTTCAAAACAAATGATGAAGCTCTCCACAATCGAAGCTTACCATACTTCTAACATGTAACCACTTAATCTCTGTTTCAGCTTTTTTGTTTGGGCCATGTAACACATGCTAAAATTTGAAAGAAAATACCAATAAGCAGAACATTGGGAAAAATACTTGAGTACAATTATTGTGAAAGCAATATCTACATTGTTATCTTTTAGGAAAAGAAATATCACAATCTTACAAAAGGCATCACTTACTGATCGATCTGGATATCATCTGATAGGGAATGATTTTGACAAAAAATAAGGTATCATTATCATCAAATAGGAAGTATGTTCTATGACAAACAACACGATCTCATGATGAGAAGAAAATGGCTGATGCTTATCCAAAAAGAAGAAAAATGGAAGTTTTCTATAGTAGGAAAAAACTTAAGAAGAGATACACACTCATGTCGTCCAGCAAAAAGAATACCAAAAACAGCCTCAATTCGAGACGGAGGAAAGAAAGAGCAGAATGAAGGATTGGAAATGCACAACCAGTTTCCCCTTTTTGGTGAGAATATGAGCAACTAGTTAAAAGAACAGGCATACGGCTGCTCGTGATGATAGGAATGCTACACAAACTAGTAGATCATCAATGCGTCTTCCAGAAAGTTTGGTTTCAGTGCCAACAACACAGATGGGAGCATAGACATGATCAGCCACAATAAGCCATTCTTGCCTTTCTGTCCAAGAATCTCATTAAACACTGTGGCATCATACAATAACGATAAAATAACATGTAATCAGTACAAAAGTTCAACGGGCAAAGATAATGATCAAATTTCCAAAGACAAACAAAAATCCCATTTGCCAACAGCATACAAGGAAAATAAAGAGCAAGACTTGCCCAACCACCAGCAACCTTGTTTGGGCTGGAAACTTCCTTTTCTCTTCCCGGTTTCCTGGTTCAGACTCAGATACATGTTCAATTCACGACAAAACCATTGGGAAGAAACTTCAGCTAAGGAAGCCAATGCAAGTAGCCCCTTTAGCTCTTTTCGTGGATTTCAAAAAACGGAACAGAAAAGATAACCGCCACTCAAAACCATGCAACGCAACTGTCTCAGAACAGGTCAGGAGAGACAGGAAAAAATTTACAGGCGCCTATGGCTACATACTCGTGCCACAACATTCCACTCATCATCCGTATGAAAATCAATCTTTTCGCACACACGGGCCGATCAAAACCGCCTCAAGTTCGATTAGCTTCCTCAATTGGGTATCGCGAAAACTTTCCAACAATTCCTGCAATCCTTGCACTCCATGGCTTTGCCCGTTTTCCGGTCGCTTCTTCCCTAACAATCCCACTCCCCACATTGAATACAAAACCACCACGAACATCATTACCCACGAACATCCTCATCATCGTACTCCTAAAAAAATCCGTTCTTTTTCCCTCCCATACACACTCACATAAACCACATCCACCGCCGACCTCAAATCCCAAAATCTAAAAGCAATGAAAGATCGAGCACTGAGGAGAGTAAAAAAAGAAAACGAAGAAACGTCCGCACCTCACCTTTCGCTTCAACTTGAGAGGACTCGCGAGGGTCGACCTCGAGGAGATCAAGATCCGATCTTGAGGTGTAGAGAGAGAGAGAGAGAGCTTCGATGCACGAAGAACCCTAAACCCCCAAATTGGTCGATTTCTGCTGCTTTTGGGAGATCGCAGTAAGGACGGCCCGGGCCGAGCTCCGCCACGTGGCCCGTCGGCCCGAACCCGAAGTTTGTTCCGGGTCGGGCCGGTCATCGTCCGGACGGGTTTGGGCTCGCCGAGCCCGCTCTTCAAAGTTCTAAACCCACCTATTCTTTTTCCTTTTTAAGGGTAATTTTACTTTTTTTGAATGTTTCACATTAGTCCTTCCGTTACGCTTTTTTCTATTGTCGGTCGGTTTTTGCTAGCATAAACTATGGAATTGTTGAGTTTAGACTTTGAAGTATAATTATCGTCTCGTGATTTTCTCAAAATCATCACTTGGCGCTACATCGGGCAACATGAAAAATCAAGAGAAAAGAATTTAGAGACGGAGAGCCTAATATGAGCTCTCCCACTCACGGTAGCCATGGCCGCTTGAGTTCTCGGCTCTTGGCCATGGCCACCAAATCTCAAGCTCATTGCCATAGCCCTCGGGCTCTGGGTTTGCGATCGCCATGGTCGCTCCAGCTCGAAGCTTGCGGCCATGCCCATTCAGGCTCCAGGTTTGCAACCATGATAGCCAAATCTCGAGCTCCCAATGCTTGGTTGCGAGTGGGCATTTATGAATAAGAGAATTTGCATCGTTGTCGGAGTGTTAGATTTGTGGGTTTTGCTTGAATTTGGTGAGATTTTAAATAGAAGAAAAAGAAGAAGATGGTTGCATTAACACACATGCTAGAGAGAGAGAGAGAGAGTTCAAAATTTAAAGACATTAACGCCTCGTCAACAAATTTCCAAAAATCGAAGGATAACCGGTAATACTTTTTTTTTAAGTATAGGGATTCTTTTGAAACGATTTTGATTTTCAGACATAAACACAAGAGTAAGATTGCCCCTTCCCACCCATTCGAGAGACTTCATTTTGGTTCTTTGTCCATTGAAAGTTATTTTTGCCACGTTGCCATCTACAGTGCACTTACACAACCAAGGTCAGTTGCGGTTTTTCTCTTCTTTTCTTTTTTGGGCACGAATGCAATTATATCTTCAAGCAAACAATTAATCATATGAATGTGCTAATAACTATCCAAAAGACAAAATAACATTGAAAATAAGGACAAGGATTTGAGTCTAATTGATGCAAATTTTAAAATTGTAAGGAGCGAAGTGAAAATTGGTAAACATTGAGGAGCCAACTGGATGGAGGGCAAAGCGTGCCTTTTTTCCTATCGTTCTTTGTTCCTTCTCTTTTTCCTTCGAGGAACCATCTCAAATCTGATAACATCGTAAAAGAGCTCGAGGCAAAGAGAAAGATGTATATGAAGCTTGACGACGACACTTCTCAATGGCTGTCACCTCCAAAGCTCTTCAAGAAGAATGGCCCCGGTCCACAAAACCAGAACGATGCCGCGAAACGTAAATTGAAACTTTCAAAGAAGTCTCACTCAATCAAGATCAAACAAAGTTCGAGTCAAATCGAGGCAGGCTGAGTTTTTCACAAACTACAGTTAAACGGGTCGATGATGAAGGTTTACCGTTCCTTCTATTTTTCTGTTTTGACAGAACAAACTTGTGATATTCATCGCCACTGAGATGACGTAAAGAAGCTTTTTCATTCATTCTAAACCACAGGAACATGCCATAAGCATAGATTTTGATAAGGCGATCACGAGACGCTGCACGAGCGAGCCATAAGATGAGGCAACAAAGTCGGACGAAAATCCAAGGCTGCATAACCATATATCGTTTAAATCGAAATGTGGTCTGCAATTCTAATCCCCGAAAGTACACGAGGAAGCAAAAGAGAAGCTTATTGAGAGATTCATCTGCACATCTTAACGCCCGAGAAAGGACCAGATGCTGGTCTAGTCTGTAAAAAGGAACATCAGCCCGGAAATGCTCAGGGCTCAAAGGTCATGTTCTCTGCCTCCTTTCTCACCGACTCGAACAGCACAGAGGAGAGATATCTCTCTCCGAAGCTTGGAAACACAGCCTGCACCAATTGATTTATTCTATCAACCAGTAATTCAAACCCATTATCAGTTCAAGCACCTTGTTTTAAGCCCCACAAGTAACTTAAGGCCAAAAGTGGAGCCTGGAGCTATTGCCTAAGCAGTGGGTCAAGGGCCTAAGAGGACCCTGATCGTGGACTGCAACTATCCAGACCCTTAGCTATTTCGCTCTTAGGGGAAGACCGGTGAAAAAAATCTTGACTTGTACATGACAACTCAGGCAGCGCAAACAGAACCTCACATCATTATTCGTTTCAGAGGAAAGATCAATGAAGAACGGAGGACTTACCACTATTAGTTTTCCAGCATTCTCTGGCCTCTTTGCGATTTTAATTGCAGCTGCTGCTGCTGCACCGGAGGAAATTCCCACCTGCATTTTAGAATTGAAACATCAAAACAAAAGACAAGACACGACTACTTCTATCACTCTTTAATCAGGGATAGCTACTACTACTATAACCCTCAAATCTAATTGAAGAGATTTGATGTGGGTCGTCAACATAAATAAGGGGGACAATCAGGAATGATGGGTGATGGATACTTACAAGCAAACCTTCTTTCACTGCAAGAAGCTTTGCAGTTTCAATTGCTTCATCACTTGATATCTGCAGGAAAGAATACATATTTGGTCTCAGGAATTACCGGTGAAACTGATGAAGGGGACAGAAGTTGATATGGAAGGTCGAAGTAAAGCTTGGCAATGACAGCAAATAATCTCAACTGGTTCGAAAGCATGGCCTTTGAAACTTTGTCGCATGCCCAGTTATCATCAGAGATAAGGATTACTTTGTTTAGCCAACATAATTGTCCGACTATGTATAACCTTCAGATAGTGAAGGTGGAAAATTGGATGGCTTACATTATGTGATTGCAGCCTGTTATCCGTGTTTTGAATATGAATATGATTATCGTCTATCACACATTTCCTAAGTACCCATTGCAAAATGCCAATTAGAACAATACATCAGGATCAACATAAAACGGTAAGCTAGTAAAAACACATTTTGTGGAGGTCAGCATTGCAATGGCATTTGCTTGCAATTGCTTGATTTAGGAAATACTTCTAAACCTCAAGAACATCCTAAGTCAAATCGTTTTCATATCTGACCAGTGGCCAATAGCAGATGAGAAATCAAACATATAGATTCGACCTGATGTCAGCATGACTAAAGTTCTCAGTGATACGTAAAAGAGCCTATCACATCACTTCAAAAGCCTGTTGTTACCATAAAAGGTTTACTTTTCATAGAACTTAATAAAACAAGAGAACAATTCTCACTTGAATAACTTCATCGATAAGGTCAACTTCCAAGACACCTGGAATGAAACCAGCACCTATCCCTTGGATCTTGTGAGGACCTACCAGAACCAGTCAGCAGCAATCTATGAGACAAAGTAAATCATCTAAATCAGAAAAGATTAAGTCTGCAACTGTAATATCCAAGAGAGCTTGTTTTTCAAACATTTATCGAAGAGAGAGAGGTGCAAATATTTACTCATTCCAGAACAGTTTAATAAGGCCATAGATGCGGCAAGATGGATGTAGATGACAGCTTTAGAACTTTCAAAGTTAATAACAGAACCCGCCGTAAAGTCCACATGCCCCAGAAGTCATGAGGCCATAAATCAAGAAGCTCCATTGACATATCACAACAGTGCCGCAAATTGAAATATGGAAATGAGAACACCACTTCAAATCCAGAACTTCTGCTAGAAATATTGGCAATGCGCCATATAGTAAATCTTGGGAGTCATACCCTTTATATTTTACCCCATTTTTATTTGAAAGAATTGCACATCTTTTCTTTTTTGATCAGCCTATTTATATCGACAATTTATCATCTCATGTTTCAGGTTTCTGCAGAGATCACTTCTCTCTCTTCCCTTGCTTTGATGCGAAACCATGAGCTTTGAACTATAAGGACTAGAAATAAGACCCCATCATATCAATCTCTCACAAGTCATCGACCAATCTTAATAAAACAGAATTGGACGATAAACTAGATTGTGCATGGAGATTTAATAATCGCGAAAGGTATAACATGTTCAAGGGAACTAACCAGGCTTCCCTCCAGATAATACAGGGCTTTCAACAGGTTCAATACCATAGAGCTGAAAAATAAAAGAGAAACAGTAAGGAACTTAGACTAGAAGGTGAGAAAAAGAATAACATGCAGCTGAAGCAGCGCTCTCAACACGACAAGAATGTTCAGGCACAAGGTTTTTTATTCAAGGCATCCATAGTTGATAATCCCCCAAAACTGACTATAGTTTGTTTGAGTTCAACACATGACAAACAATAACATAAAAACAATTTACCTTTATATCAGGGTTTTGCTCTTTCAGAAACTTTCCAGCGCCAGTTATAGTACCACCAGTTCCAATCCCAGAAACAAAGGCATCTATTTTGCCTCCCGAGCCTTTCCATATCTCTGGTCCGGTTGTTTCATAATGTACCTAAACAGAACAATGACAGTCAAGCTCAAGTTCATGTCATCACCTGCACATACAACCAACAAGACATGACAGTTGACCACACATGTACCTTTGGGTTAGCAGGGTTCTCGAACTGCTGAAGAATGTAAGAGTTAGGTGTCTTTGCCATAATCTCCTCCGCCTTCTGAACAGCACCCTTCATGCCCTTGGCAGGGTCGGTCAGGACCAACTCAGCTCCAAAGGCACGGAGGATGATCCTTCTTTCCAAACTCATAGACGCTGGCATTGTAATGATTAGCCTGTAGCCCTTTGCTGCTGCCATGAATGCCAACCCAATGCCAGTATTGCCACTTGTAGGCTCAATCAATACACTCTGCAGCAATTTGGAATTTAATAAGTCAAAATGAAAAATTCATCAGCAGAAGAGCTTCATTTCTATATAAATTCATTTGCAAATGTGCATAAAACCAATATATTGAATATCACTACACACGGCTAAGAGTCATAAAAACAAACAAATAAACCAAGTGTTTGCTTCCTATAATTAAGACTATGAATCAGTACGTTGCAAGAAAACAGACCAGTGTAGTTTGTAAAATATTGCACATGTCAAGAATCAACACCGTTACAGAGTTCTCGTCATCCGCCATATAAAACCAGAGATTGGAAGTATTTTGCAATCCACTAACCTCACCAGGTGTGATAAGCCCCTTCTCCTCAGCATCTGTAATCATACTATAGCCAATCCTGTACGAATCACGCAGCAAAAAAAGATGCAGAGTCAAGACTCAAATAAAAAATCACTTTGCTCTACAAACTCAAAAAGAATCTCCCCATTTCAGAACAATCATATAAGCTCTGAAAACTCAATCCTAAACTAAAGGTAGCACTTCAATCCGAAACTCGTGATAGCAGAAGCTATACCTGTCCTTGACACTAGAGCATGGCTCCATCATTTCAAGCTTTGCCGCCACACGAGCAACACATCCGTCCACAACACTATTGAGGTACACCAGCGGAGTTTTACCTATCAACTGTAACCCCACAGAATCACGAGCAAAAAATATAGACCCAACAAGCGCAAAATCACACAATCGGCACCGAGACATTAGAACCCAATTGGACATACGCACCTCGGTGACATCTTTAACGATTCCAGACTTCTCATCGGCCATGTTTCCTGATCACTGCAATCACACAGCAAAATCAAGCCTCGAGAAACAAAGACCACCACCCAATGTTCCAACTCTTGAAGCAACGAAGAACGACCCAAGAGAGTTATCAAGACCTCCTCGAAAACACCGAACGGATGATGAAATCTAATATTCAAAACCTTTGCTCTATGTGGGTTCACGAGATCGATGATTTTATAGCCTTTTCTTGTCCTCTTGCAATATAATACACCAAATAATATATAAATAACAAACACCCATTTCACGCTAATGACCAACGAGGAACGACACCTATGCTGCGTGTGCATCTGGGTGTTTTTTTAGAACACTAAAAAACAGAGCCCCGCGGAACATCCTTTGAATTTGGTGACAACGACGGCCGTACTCTGACAATTAATATTAAATTAAGCCAAACCCCTCGGGGTTAGGCAGAAGATTACGGTGCATAGCAGTGATAAAAAAGCAGATTAGCATTGACCTTAGGATTACGGGAAGCGAAATCACCTTAGAAATTAGCAGAAACGAGTGAACAGCCGACTCGTTTCTTGAATGAATCTCACGAAGACCTCTGTCAGAGCCACAAACTTAGAGAAGAATTTAAAGGGTGTAATCATATGGGATTCACGGGTGTTACGCTAATCTTGGAAAAGGGTCCTCTAATTTCAGAAAAATTTTACTTCTTTTTGAGGAGATGACAACTGGGTCGTTTTCCGAATCCGTACTCTTCCAAATTTTCCTATGTAAGCAAGCCAAGATGAATGGCAGAGGTGAGGAGGTTGAACCTGACCCGATTTCCAGGCTACGTTAAACAGGGGAATTCGTCGCCGGGGATGATGCCGAATGAATCACCGCCTTTCATTGAGGATATGATCTCTCTTGATATGTCCTTCCACTGACCTTCCGCAACAAGAAAACAATTGTTTTCCTTTCGTAGATGTGCAGGGTTCGAAGATCTAATGGTATTGAATACATCACAAGGCCACAAATTGACCAAAGTGGTGTTATAGGCAAGCCAATGTTTATACGCTATTGACATGGTAAACATTGTTTTTATATTGGTGATGTTTCTCCTCTGTCTTTCGCTGGGAAAATTGATGAAGTTGATTTAGGGAAAATTGTCCAAAAAGTCATAAACTTATCGTACTTTGGCCAATTCAGTTCCAAGTTTTTAAATTTTGCCAATTGAGTCATAAATTTTTTACTAATTTACCAATTGAGTCATTCGCTAATTTTTGCAGGAATTCGTTGAGTGGACACCAGCCGTTAAACGTACTACGATCGGCGCTGACGTAGATAATTTTTAATAATATATATATTTATTTATTTTCCTTTCTTCTTCCTCCTTTTGCCGATGACTGACCACAGGCAATGGCTGAGCAGGCTGGTCTCTCCTGGGTGAGGGTTGCTGTAGCCCGCCACAAGCAAGGCCTGGCCAAGTGAGGGTGAGCCCCGGTGAGAGCTCCCCTCGTTAGATTTAGGACTTAATTAGCAAGAAGTGATAATATTTAGGACTTAATTGATAAAATTGAAAGGTTTAGGAATGAATTGGTAAAAGTGCAATAGGTTTAAGACTTTTTGGACAGTTTTCGCTATTTTGAACGTAGTTACGTCGTTAGCGGCACATATCCTTTACATATTAAAATGACATAGGAAAAAAAATAAAGTGAAGAAAATGAAAATAAAAATGTAACCAAAAGGAGTAGGAGCATGTTGTTTTTGTTTTTTTGTTTTTTATGTTTTTATCTCACTCCTCTCTATTATATGTATGTGTGTGTGGTGCTCACATAGATCGAATTTCGGATCTAGTACTCTTCGACCCCACTCTCAATCCCTTTACCAACTACATGCTCCTTTCAGCCGGCAGGCATGTTGTTGTTGTTTTTTTTTTTCCTTTTTTTTATTAAGTTGTTAACTTATTTTTAGATGCTCCCAATAGGTCAAGTGTTATTGTTCCCGAGATATGTACAGTCTCTATCAACTATCCCCCACTCAGTTAGTCTACAAAATTTCGCCAGGTGTCAATGTAGCACAACCTCAAAAAATCCTACTTCCTGTCTCTCTCTCTCTCCTTCTTCTCCAGCCCTATAGAGGTTACCCCTTCCACGCATGGTGCCACCGAGCCGGCTATCACACTACATTATCGTCACTTGTGCTGTCACACGGCTGCCCGCCTCTGCCGTGACAGCCATTGCTTTTCTCAAATTTGGGCCGACTCGACTCGACAGATGCGAGAACTCCCCACCTCTTTCTCAGTGTTGCCTTCCATAGAGTGCATCCCCTTCCGCGCTCGATCTCTCTCTTTCGTGTCACCGCCACCGACGATCAAGACAAGACGTTCGGACGACGAGCCCGAGCCGAGATCGAGGCTCGGGTCGATTGCGAATCTCAAATCTCAGGCTCAACCGCCCTCGATCCAAGGTCGAGGACCTCCTATAAGCCTTACCAAGGTTTGTTATAGGAAAAGTTGGGTTCGCAAAAGAATGCTAAAATCCAATCCACATGAATTATCAAAGATATCTTTTATATCATTTTTTTTGGTCGGACCACACATCATCTTTCAATTGCATATATTCAAGATTGCTCGTATATATCGGGATAATATCACTATTTCAATGTCTTTTCCAAATGGACTTTCCTAATCAAGCAATTGAAATATTACTTGATTAAGTCAAATGGCAACGAGAGACATTTTAATCTTTGTTTTGAGAATTTCCATCTCAATATTTCTTCTAAGGTTCTAATTTATATATGATTAAGATGAGTGCTTTGAAAATTTCACATATAAGATCCAAGCAAGAAATATCCTGAATTTTGGTTGATGGCTTCACGCGAACAGTTCTCATCTCCTTGGATGAACAAGCAGAAACCCTAGCTATGGTGGAAACGCTGAAGTGCCTCTCTCCACGCATGCACGAGCGTCTTCTTTTGGAGTCACATTGTCTCAGTTTGATAAACTCGTTGTAGTCTACAAATCATTCTGACTCGAAAGTACGTGCACCGGTGCACGTATCAGAGAAGCTCGTGATATGTTAATTCTCTTTAACAATTTAAGGCTAGCTCACTGTAAGAGAGCTTGTAACTGTGTGGCTGACCAAGTCGCTAAGGCCCACAGAGAAATGGGCCTCTCCCAAAACTCGCTTGCTCACCCTTCACAGGCTTTTTGGAATCTGCTTTGTTTTGAGGCCCCATTAATGGGTTCAGTTAATTACCGCTAATAATAAAGACGAGTTCTTAGACACAGAAAAAAAGAAATATTCTAAATTCAATACTACACCGGTTTGTACCAAAATCCGGTGGAAGCACGGGCAAGAATTCTAGTTTCATTCTAAGATAAAATCATTTGGCTTACTTTCAATAACTTTTCAACTTTAGATCCCGATTTTTTTTTTGATCGTATGTGTTCAATCTCTCATGTCCACCAGATTTTAGGAACAGCACCTGACGGGAACTGCTCGAAAAAGTACGTTTGTTATGCAGTAAAATTTTGGGAAAAGTTACCCTTTCGGCCAACGCGAACATGTTTTCTTCTTTCCTGCAGGAAGCTCCACGGCGATCAACAGTTGGTATGAATTTGAGAAGTATTGGGCTGAGGCTGGAATCCGACGCGGCGGGCCACAGATGAATCCTTGCGAGGATGAGCTCAGCTCGAGTATGAAATAATGCTTATAAGTGGGTATAGAAAAGAAATTAGTGAATGTTTCAAGCAAATTTCCAAGAAAATTGTTTATGTGTGGCGGGTGATGTTATCTGTTTGCGTGTGAAGCTGAGAGAGATTAATCCGCAAGAAATTAAGGGATATGTGGCAGAGGCTAATTCCTGTGATGCGTATGAATCATGATCAAACTTCAAGTTGTATTTTGTCCTTCCTTCCATCAATAATCACCTTCAGTCCTTCCTCATATAATCCCATTTATAGAACTTAATCGGAGGTTGTATTGCCGTTGTGTCCAGCATCGGAAATCCTGGAACCGAAGCGAAACGATGTCAATTTGAAAGCAAAAATCCGTGATTTGCCTAGAGATGGAGCAACATAAGGCTTATCCATAAGAAAATGAGAGTGAGATTTGAAAAGCCATTCACCGTATTAGGAGTCACTTTCCTTTTTATAACCCAGGAGTAGAACAACCCACGTCATGGCTTCCATTTAAATATGAGTTCTCCAGGACATGAATTGCACCATAACTATCAGTTCCTACGTTGAAAGTATGATAACATTCTTGCCACTAGGTCAATCCCAAGACGTGTTAAGAGTCTCATTCTTTGTAAAACCTGAGTTTAACCATATCTCTAAGATGATGCTAGTGAGACAAAAAGAAATTTACAGTCATTCTTATCGTGTCAACTGATTCTATATACGAGAATGGCATGATCAATTGGACTTGGATGGAAAATATTGCAATTGTTATAGGAAGATAAGGATATTAGAAGTCAAATTAAGCTATGCAGGAGGTTTATAGGGTAACCAATTATCAAGCTTGCGCAAATGCGTGCTTTATTTGCATATACTGGTATTTTACGTGTTATTTTTTAATCTGTGTTAGCATATAATTATTGTCACTTGCCATTTCTAGGAATGTGTTAGACCTATATTTGTGTATAATAATTCTTTTTATAAAATATAATATTCAAAACCTTTGTTCTATGTGGGTTCATGAGTTCAATGGTGATTACCATTTCTTGCTAATCACCAATGAGAAACGACTCGCTTATGATGCGTTCGCATCTGGGCGATTTTATAAATTAAGCCTTAAAAAACAGTGCGTGAGGAACATCCTTTGAATTGGCGACAACGATGACGGTACCCTGACAATTACTATTGAACTCCGCTAAACTAGGTGCGGTTAGACCGAAGATTACGGTGTGCATAGCAGTGAACAAAAGGAGACTAGCATTGACCTTAGGATCACAGGAAGCGAAGAAATCACCTTGGAAATAATGAATCTCACGAAGACCTTTGACAGAGCCACGAACTTAGAGGAGAATTTGAAGGGTTCAATCATATGGGATTACGCTAATCTTGGAAAGGGTCTTCTAATTCCAGAAATTTTTTACTTCTTTTCGAGGAGATGACAACTGGGTCGTTTTCCGAATCCGTCCTCTTCCAATTATTCAAATGTAAGCAAGCCAAATCGGAAGATTGAGGGAAGGTGACGAGGCTGAATCGGACCTGATTACCAGGCTACGTTAACAGGGGAATCGTCACGGGGGACGATGCCGAATGAATCACCGCCATTCATTGAGGATATAATCTCTCTTGATATTTCCTTCCATTGACCTCCGCAATAAGAAAACAATTG